ACAAGGGGCCCGAAAGAGACCCCAAGAGGCTCGACAACGACTCCCGAGAGTCTCCAAGAAGCCCTCGAGAGGCACCCAACGAGATCCCAATGAACGTCCACGAAGCCTCAGAGCGCCAAAACCATTGATTTCCATTGGGTTTTTCAAGGTTTTTGGCTTCCTCGCCTTTTCGCCTTTCCGACGCTCCAAGACGGCCCAAGAAGCTTCCAAGACCACCCCAAGACGGCCCAAGAGGTCTCCGAGAGAGACCCACGACCGTCCAAGAGAGTCCCACGACAGCCCAAGAGGCGCCCAAGACGGTCCAAAAGGACCCCAAGAGGGCCCCAAGAGGGGCCCAACATGGAGACCACGAGCCGAGAATCCGAGCCTTCCGCTCCAAGAGGCCTCCTGGAGGCTCCAAGAGGCCCCCAAGAGGCCCCAAAAGGCGACAAGGGGCCCGAAGAATGCAAAAAGGAAACTGCAGAATGTTGTCTTGTTCCCTGCGATCGTATTCACGAGCCGCCACCTTCCGAAAGGTTCAGGCGGGCAAAGAATGGCTCCCGCCTGCGAAATCACCCAAAGCCAGCCATCCATAAACAAAAAAACTACCCAGCAGCACCCCATTGACAACGATCACACGGGCATTCGACAGCCGTGTACCAACACGGGCCGGCGGAATGAGCAAAGCGATTAAATACATACGTGCAGATGTCGATGTATACATATGCGCTGCTGCATGTATACATCTATATATATATATATGTGATCGAATGTGTATACACACGTATGTGCGTGCATATGCAGATGCATATGGGTACAGGCTTACACCTGTACATATACATGAGCGAATGCATGAAGGAATGAATGAATGAATGAAGCCGCGTGTCCGTAGGCCATGTACAGATCTACATATATACATATATACACACACGCATACGCACACATGAATACATGCATATGTGCATGTATGTCTGCATACAATCATTCAACTGTGATGTCATGTCTGCCACCGTGCCTCTAGGCGCTGGGTGGAACATCCCCATGCTCATTCGAGCTCTCTATATTTCGTTGGTTTGAACTTCGAACGTCGTCTGCGCCGATCGCCGCCTAACCAATGCGAAGCCTGCTTGTGCGAACTGGCACACTGCGATTACAGGTCAACGATGCACAACAATTACGGGTCGCCCGATTCTCTGCCGCATGCATATCACTGGAAAACTTCGCGAACAATCACTTCCCACCACTCCTCGAACAAAACGCCGTGCACTCCGCCTCCCTCCTGCGCCTGGCCACCCTATCAGCTGATGTTGCAGCCAGCCCCCACAACTCCTGAGACGGCACTGCTCTGCGGAGCGCGACCTCGAGGGCGCAGTGAACCGTAGTGGAGCTCGGCCCAGAAAGACAGCCAGATGACCTGCTCCGACTTCACTTTTCGGGGCTGGATCTCGATGATGCACGCCTGCGGGAAGGATGTCACGACGACCGTGTGCACGCCGAAGGCATCGGCGATAGCCTGCAGGCTCACGTTGTCGCCCCACTCGCCGTGCCTGCCCATGGCGTTCGTGTAGTCCTGGAAGTCGCGGCCTGCTACAAAGGGGCTGTACCTCTCGGGCTCCGCCCGCAGCTGCGACACCGCAGCAGCTCGGACCTCTACGTGGCGCGATGGTGAGCCAAAGAGCTGGTCGGCCGCCGAGGCGAACTGGCAGTTGCCGTCGCCCACGATCGGACGCTCCTCGACGCCGTAGAGGCGCAGCCGCTCGCGCAGCCTCTCCCGAGAGAGGATGCCGCACTCCTGCAACCTCGAGAGCGGTATGATCGTCTCACACGACGACAGCGCACGCCACAGCGCGCCGAACCACGCCCCGCTGGTCGGCACAGGGGTGGAGCTCATGGCGCCGCCCAAGCTCAGGCCGCTCGACGACCGTGGCGTGTAGCACCCGTCGGTCACGATGGACCCCTTGAAGCGGAGATTCCCCATTATGATCTCGACCTGCTCGTGCTCGTCTGCCGCGAAGTCCTGCCCAGGTTGCTCGCTGACAGGACCGCTGCCAGCAAGGCGACTCGCCACAAGCGGGGCGCTGGACTGCGAGCCCGGCGCACGGCTGGAGGCAGCCAGGAATGCGGGCGCGTTGGGGAACGCCGTCGTGCGGAACGTTGCCGCAGTAGCAGTGGGAGCACCGGCCTGCGACGGGAACAGGCTGCACTCACCGTCGCGCGGGATCCATTCGCCTGGAAGCGGCTGCGTGAAGAACGTCGTCGGGCTGCTGCAGTGCGCGTGTGGGCCAGGGGCGCTATGGACGTCAAGTGCGAAGGGGTCAGCCTTCGTAAGCTTCAGCGACACCCTGGACGCGGGGGACGACAAAGTCCAATTCCAGGCAAGGCTGTCTGTGCCCAGCTGCTGGGCGAAAGGAAGCGTCGGCGGGACTGGAAGAGTACGTGGCGCAGGTCCAGCCACCTCCCCCGCCGAGGCAAATCGCCGAGGAGACGATGGCGGCGCAGACTGCCGCCCATGCACGCTAAGTGGCGTCGGCGTTCGGCGCAGCAGCTGCTCCAGTGCGCCCCTCGGCGCACCCTTGATGGGGGCGTCCTCGCCAGTGGCTGAGGCAGGCGGGGCGAATGCAAGCGTGCAGGCTGCGTGTGTGGAAGCTGCGACGTGCTCTGTGGCGGCCGAGCAGCCAACGGCCGAACCAGGGCAGCTGGCAGACGCGACTGGGTCCCGGAGCTCGTGCGGCAGGGCACGGGCAGAACAGGTCGGCATGCGTGAACAGCAGGCCCTTGGAGAGTGGCTGGGCCTGGCGGCGATTGAAACAAATTCGATGTGCGGCCTGCTGCTTGAGCCCAAATGGCCACGGATTTCGCACCATGTCCTGAGTATCGACAGCAACAACACCCCTGATCTCTGAGCGCTTCTGGACGCTCTTGGAACTTGTCTCGCGGCATTTCTCGCGGCCTTGGAAGCACGCTTGGGGGCCCACACTTCCAGCATGGTCCAAGATGGTCCTAGGGCCCATCCTGGAGCTCTCTTGGGTGCCTCTTGGGCCGTTTGGAGACACCAAAATCATTGAAAAACCAAAAGTAATTCTGAACGTTCCGTCCAAGACGGCACAAGAGGCCCAAAAGATCGCCCCAAGACGGCCCCCGAGGCCCTTACGAGAGCCCAAGAGGCCCCGACGACGGCCCGAAAGAGGCCCAGAAAGGCCACCACCGCCGCGCCGCTGAAAGCCGACCCTCCACGAAGGCCCCGAGACCCCCAAGATGCCCCCTGAAAGCTCCCAAGAAGGCCCCAAGAAGCCCCTAAGAGGGCCACAAGAGGCCCCGAGACACCTCGAAGACGAAGCCAAGAGGCCCCTCAGGAACCTGCAGGCACCCAAGAGGTGCCCCAAGAGAACCCAAGAGACTTCCAAGAGACCTCCTGGCCACGACCCCGGCACGGTGGCGGGACGGACCGAAGGCCACCAGATCCGCCGCCCCCTGCTTGCAGGGGTGCACGGCGTGCTGGATGATTCAGGTTTTGGTTTTGGTTCTTTTTCTAAAAGAACTCCCCAGTGGGCTTCGGCCCGTCCCGCCGGCCACCCGCAAATTTCGGAAAACCCATCCCTCAATGCCCAAAAACGGCCGTTTCGCTCGGGACATCCTCAAAAAATCGCGAAGATGGCCCAAGATGGGCTCCAAGTCCGCCCGAGATGGACCAAGACGGCCTCCAAAACGGCCCAAGAGAGTCCAAGACGGCCCAAGACGGCCCAAGAGGCCCCCCAGAGGCCTCCCAGACGGCCCAAGAGGCCTCCAAGAGGTCCTCCAGGAGAGTCCGAAGAGGCCAAAATCATTGATTTTCCCTTGGTTTTTGAAGGATTTTGGCATTTGCGCCTTTTCGGCTCTCCGACGGCTCAAGACGGCCCAAGAAGCCCCCAAGATCGCCCAAGAGGCCCCCAAGAGAGCCCCATGATGGCCCAAGTGGCCTCCAAGATGGCCCCTAGAGGGCCCCAAGAGGGCCCAAGAGGCCTCCAACACGCCCAAGATGGCCTCCAAGACGCCCAAGATGGCCTCCAAGACGGCCCTGGAGCATTCCAAGCGGGCCCCAAGTCGGCCCATAGAGGCCCCCCAAACGGCTTCCGACGGCTTCAGACGTGCCAGGAACCCACCAAGATGGCCGAAGTTGGCTCGAAGCTGGCCCGAGACGGCCCAAAAAGCCCCAAAGATCGCCCAAAGCTTGCCCAAGAGGCCTCCAAGACGGCCAAGATGACCTTCAAGATGCCCACGTGTTCCCCGAAGGCTTTCCAAACCGATTCGGGGAACACGTGGTCCGATAGCTTGGCAGGTCTGGCCTCAACGTTCGGCCACATAGGCGCTTCCAAAAAGGCAAGGGGCGGCGGTGATTCGCCGTAGGCGTCTTCGATCCGCCGCCCCCTGTGCCTCCGCACCCGACAGCCCCCGCACATGACAGCCCACGGCTGTCAAAGGCAAAGCTCTCCCCCCAAGCGGACTGAGGGCAAGCGTGCTACGGCACGGGAGCCAGGCGCGCCCAGTGCCTGCCACCAGGATGCTAGGCCTGCCAGACGGCTTACTCTTGCAGGTCCTTCCAAAACTCTCCGAGTGGCCTCCGGCCCAGCCCGAGAGCCACCCCACAACGCGTGCCCCAACGGCCTCTCCACACCAGATGGCCCCAAGAGGGCCTCCGAGATGAGCAATTTCGTCCCAGATGACTTCCAAGATGGCCAAGATGGCATCAAAGTCGGGGAATAAGGCCCCAAGAGAGCCCAAGATGGCCCCCAAGATGTCCGGACGGCCCAACAGGCCCCCCAAGACGCCCCAAGACGGCTCCAAGAGGACCTACAGAGGTCCCCAGGAGACCAAATTCATTGATGCTCCTTGCATGTTTTCATGTTTTGGCCCCAGAGCCCTAAGGTAGCTCAAGAGAGCCCAAAGGGGCCAGCAAGACGGCCCAAGGCCCGCAAAGAGCCCCAATATGACCCCAGAGGGCCCCTTGCCAGTGGTCTCCCCAAGCGCTGAGGGAGCACGCAGTCCACTAGCATGGCCGCACCTTCGCTAGACGTCTCATCACACCAGCGCTCCTGGGCAAGGGCCGTCGGTGACTCACCGGAGGAGTATTCGATCTTCAGACGAAGACAGTACATACTTCGTTCGAAGCTGCCTGCAACCTCAAGCCCGCTGGAGGGAGGAGGAGCGCATGGTGTCCCGATCTTTGTCGCAGTCGTGCAGGGCCGCCTCGGACGGCCGCGTGCATTCGAGGCAAGGTGGCGTGCCCATCTCAGGAACATAGCCTCAAGCAGTCCCCAGGTTGAGCAGCCGCGAGCACGCAAAGGCAGGAAATGGCCGTGCAGCTCCTCTCTCCTGTCTCTTTCTCTCACCACTTCTCTCTGCCTGCCCATCGTCCCCCATCCCGCTCCCCTCGCCCATGTCTCCGCCCCGATCCCCGTCCTGCATCTGCCCATCCACTGCTGCCCGGCTCAGTGCTGCAATAAGCGAACAGGATGTCAGCACGCCTGCACGTTGCAAACTGCCCGAGGCCCTCACAGGCAGAATCCTTATTTCTTCGTCAGATTGACCGTCTCGCGCTTGAGGACGTGCAACAAGGTTTGTGACGACTCGAGAATCTTCATATACGCAGCCTCGGTCTCTTGGATGGTCTTATCGTACTCGTTGCGCGCCTGCGTTTTCCGCGTGAGACTCTCGTTGACCTTCGTCAGACGGTCGGTGAGGATGGAGAGCTCCTTCTGGATCTTGGCCTTGTCCTCCTCCTCCTTCAGGATCTGGCGATTCAGCTCCTCCCGCTTCTCGCGGAGGTCCTCGATGGACTTCACGAGCTCGTTGTTGTACCCCTGCAGCGTCGAGCCCTGCGAGGCCATGCTCTCGCCCCGGGCTCCCCGAGCTGCGGGCGGCGAGCTCTGCGCAGGGCGATGGCGGGCACGGGACCAGGCAGCGGACCACCGAGGCGGCCACGCTCCGCGAGCAGGCGCCCTCGAGCCAAAGCGCCCGTGCAGGGACCAGCAGGGGGGAGGGCGAAGGGAAAGAGTAAGCACCCCGACAAGCGAAGCCCTGTAGTGAACGCACCCGAGGAGGGGATCGACAGGGCAAGCCTCCTCAGTAAACGCCCATGGCTAAACAGCACAAAAAAACGCTACGTATGTGGGATCGGGGTGGCTTTTCCTCGATTGGGAACAGCTCTTGAACCTCTGCGACCGTTCTCTCGGAAATGGCTCGGGAATGGAATGCGGAAGCTGGACGGAGGCCTGCGAGAGGCTGGCGCCGGATCCGTTGCCGATGGCCCGCCAGACGACTGTCGAGCACATACTGCGTCCGTGCTGACCGTGTGCGATCGCAGCTGGAAGCTTCCTGAAGGCTCGATCGGCTCTCTAAAACACCAGAGCATACAAACACACAGACAACAAAAACAAAACACAGACGACAACAACAACAACAACAACAACAACAACAACAACAACAACAACAACAACAACAACAACAACAACAACCACAACAACAACCACAAAAACAACAACAACAACAACAACAACAACAACAACACCAACAACAACAACAACAACAACAACAACAACAACAACAACAACAACAACAACAACAACAACAACAACAACAACCACAACAACAACAACAACACCAACAACCCCAACAACAACAACAACAACAGCAACAACAACAACAGCAAACAAGCACAAAACAACAACGACTACAGCAACAACCATTTTAAGAATGTTCGCTCTTATCTGCTCGCGTGCCATTCAACACATATATCCCAAATCCTCGGTACCCGCCCTCTTCGTCTTCGATCGTACCCCCTTGGGGGTATATATCTGTCTTACCTGCAACGTTGATCCCGTGCGGCCCCTAAGGCAAGGGAAGAGAGGACGGATGGAAGGAAGGGGCAACGGGGAGGGAGGAGGAAGGACCACGAGAGAGAGAGAGTAGCAGGAGGGGTGCTAGGAGCAGAAAACACGTGGTAGAACCAGACGGGCAGATCGGGCGGGTAGACCCGAGCGGGCGGTTCGAGAAGGCGGGCCCACGCGGCCAGGTCGAGCAGGCGGGTTGCTGAAGCATGCGTCCTGCATGATTCGCCAGGAAACCGACCGATAGCGAGATTCCCAAATAAATCGTGAGAACATCCATAGCGAGAGCGTGACTCCTGAGAGTCGAGGGCGCGGCGCCTGAATACATTGCGAGGAAGTCACACGCGAGACTGCGATTCCTGTATATATTGTGGGGGAGCCCCGCGCGAGCGGGAGCCGTTGTTGTTGTAACTCGGGGGCCGCGGGCCCAGTTTGGTGACCCCTCACTTTCCCATGTATGAAAACCAGGTGCGAGCCCCAGGAGAAGCACTTTGACTGAAAAACACCATGTGCCCTGGAGGGGGGATCAACAATAGTTATAATGTAATAAATAAGTCAACAACATCAACTACAACAAACAAAAACAAAAACTTAACATAAAACAAAAACAACAACAAAAAAATGCGAGAACGTGTTCCTGGTACCCTGCCCCCAGGCACCAGCACCACGGTCTTTCCTGGCCTGGCGTGAACATGACCCTGGTACCCCGTACCCAGTTGCGAGGGGGCTTCTGCTCAGGGGGGTCCCGGAACATCGTTTCGCTAGGAAGGGTTTTAATGAAAGGTAGAAACGGACCACAGGAGAGCCCCACAGGGGGCTTCATTTAGGGGATTGTCCCGAACAGCGTTTCGCTAGGATGGGTTCTGAGGGAGATAAGAATGGACCACAGAAGAATCCCACGGTGGGGGGCTTCTTGAAAGGAGGGCGGATGGCGTCTAGCTTGGAAGGGTCCTTAGGAAGGTTGGAACGGACCACAGAAGAGTCCCGCAGGGGGGCTGCTTTTAGGAGGGTCCCAAATAGCGCTTCGCTAGGGGAATCGGACAGGGCCGCAGAAGAGTCCCACGGAGGGCTTCTCTCAGGGGGTTGGCCCAAATGGCGCTTCGCTAGGAAGGGTTCCCAGTGATATTGAAACGGACCACAGAAGAGTCCCGCAGGGGGGCTTCTTTTAGGGGGTTTTCCTAAATAGCGTTTCGCCAGGAGGGATTCAAAGGAAGGTAGGAACGGACCAGGGAAAAGTCCCACGGCGGGGGGGGGGGCTTCCTTTAGTAGGTTTTCTAGAACCGCGTTTGACCAGGATATTTTGTAGGGGAGGTGCGGACGGACCACAGAAGAGTCCCACAGGGGGGCTTCCTTTTTTTGGGGGGGGTACCGAATAGCGTTTCGCTAGGGAGGCTCTATGAGACCACGAACGGTCACCAAAAGAGCCCCACGGGCGAATTCGGTGAAGGGGTTTTCTCGAACAGCGTGTCGCTAGGAAGGGTTCTATGAGAGGTAGGAACGGACCACAGAAGAGTCCCACGGCGGGATGCGTTTCGCGAGGGAGGCAGGAACGGACCACTGAAGAGTCCCACAAGTGGGCTTCTTTCAGGGGGGGTCTCCAGATAGCGCTTCGCTGGGATGAGTTCTGAGACAGGAACGGACCACAGAAGAGTCTCCCAGGGGGGTGCTTCTAGAGGGTTGGGTTCAAAGGAAGGTAGGAACGGACCAGAGAAAAGCCCCACGGGGGGGTTCTGTTAGAAGGTGTTTCCCGAATGGCGTTTGGCCAGGAAGGGTTCTAGGGGAGGTAGGAACGAACCACAGAAGAGTCCCCCAGGGGGGCTTCTTTTAAGGGGGGGTACCGAATATCGTGTCGCTCGGAAAATGGGAGGTGTGAACGAACCACAGAAGAGTCCCACGGGGGATTCTTGTAAGGGGTTTTCCCGAATAGCGTGTCGCTAGGAAGGGCCCTATGCGAGGTAGGAACGGACCACAGAAAAGTCCCACGGGCTTGCCGCGTTTAAGGTGTTTTCCGTAATAGCGCCTCGCGAGGGAGGCAGGAACGGACCAGGGAAAAGTCCCACAAGGGGCTAGTTTCAACGGGGTTTTCCCGAATAGAGTTTCGCCAGGAGGGGTTCAAAGGAAGGTAGGAGCGGACCACAGAAGAGTCCCACAGGGGGGCTTCTATTAGGGAGCGGTACCGGATAGCATGTCGCTAGGAAGGGTTCTATGGGAGGTGGGAACGGATCACAGAAGAGTCCCACGGGGGAATTCTTTGAAGGGCTTTCTCGAACAGCGTGTCGCTAGGAAGGGTTCTATGAGTGGTAGAAACGGGCGACAGACGAGTCCCACGGGGGGTCTGCGTTTAGGGGATTTTCCGGAATAGCCTTTAGCGAGGGAAGCAGGAACGCAACACAGAGGAGTCCCACGGGGGGACTTCTTTCAAGGGGGTCTCCAAATAGCGTTTTGCTAGGAAGGGTTCTAGGAGAAATACGAACGGTCCACAGAAGAGTCCTCAAGGGACTAGTTTTAGGGGTTTTCCCGGATAGCGTTTGGCTAGGAGGGTTCAAAGGAAGGTAGGAGCGGACCACAGAAAAGTCCCACGGGGTTTCTTGCAGTCTTGCAATAGGTTCTCTCGAACAGCATTTAGCCAGGAAGGGTTCTAGGGGAGGTAGGGACGGACCACCGAAGAGTCCCAGGAGGGGGCTTCTTGTAGGATCTTTCCATGGACAGCGTTTCGCTAGGACTGGTTCTCACGGAGGTAGGAACGGACCACAGAAGAGTCCCACGGGACTGACGGTGAGCCCCAGGACGCCCAGTGCCCCTCCAGTCGGGCAGCTGTTTTGCGCAGGCCTTCCCAAAAAGGACCACAGAGGAGCACCACAAGGGGAACGGGGAGCCCGAGAACGCCAGGCTCCCCTCCGGTCCGGCAGCCGCGAGGAGTGGCAGGGCAATAAGGGGGACGGGGAGCCCGAGGCCCGACTCCCCTCCGGTCCGGCCAGCCCGTGTGCGTGGCTAGCCCACCTCCGACTCCTCGACCCGCCCTCCTCCTCCCTCTCCTCCTCCTCCTCCTCCCCCTCCCTCCTCCCCCTCCTCCTCCTCCTCCTCCCCCTCCTCCTCCTCCTCCTCCTCCTCCTCCTCCTCCTCCTCTCCATCCCTGTCCTCCTCCTCCTCCAGCCGTGGCGACGAGAAACCTCCCAGGAAGGAGGAACACACACCGTTGCCGGTACCACGGCGCCGTGCTGGAGTGCAGGCGGCCCTGCTTAGCAGGTCGGCCCTGCCAGATCAAGGGTATACCCCCTCGTGTCCGGCGCCTTGCGACCCGTGCCTCCTGCAGTTCTGTGGCAGCGCGGCCCCCGGAAGGGTCTTGTGTCCTCTCGCGTGTCCTCTCCAACCAAGTCCGACTGTAATCCCACCAGCGCTGTAGAGCGTGAGTGGTTTAGGGAGTCTCTATTTCCAACCCCATTCATCCCCTTCGTGGAGGGGTTTTCATCATTGCTCCTTATCACTATACACCCCCTTCCCCATCCGACTGTGGGCCAACCCGAGACATGCCAACCCTCCCCCCACCCATCCCTTTCAAAAAACGATACAGGATGCACTTTGCCTCTACATCTGGAGCATGCGCGGGCGCCCCGCGGCCACTTCGCATTGGTTCTTGACAGGAACGGCGGAAGGAACTGGCATATTGCTCGCTTCGCGAAAGCCAACCATCCCTGTCAAAAAACAAAGCAGAATACACTTGCCTCCACATCAGGAACGTGCGCGGGCGCCCCGCGACCAGTTCGCATTGGTTCTTGACAGGAACGGCGGGGGTGCCGGCAGACTGCTCGCTTCCCGAGAGCCAACCATCCCTGACAAATAACAGAGCAGAATGCACTCTGCCTCCACATCGGGAGCATGCGCGGGCGCCCCGCGACCACTTTGCATTGGTTTTGGACATGCACGGCAGGGGTGCCGGCATATTGCTTAAACGTGGAGCACGTGCCGCACCTGGCGCGCCTGGTTCGCTTGGGCCTCCAGGGTGCCTGGTGCACCTGGAACCCGTGGCGCCAATTGCACGCGTGGCGCTCCGAAGCAAGATGCTGAGACTCCCTCGGGTGTTACGTATGTGTTGGGAGGGCGGGTGGGAGTGAGCGAGACGGCTTGCGGGCGAAGGGTGGGCCTCGACCCCTCTCCTACACCCTCCCCCTTGACCTGTATGGGAAGTTCCGCGAAACGTTGGAGCGTCCAAGATGGCCTCAACGAAAAAGCAAACATCATTGACTTTACGAGGGCTTGGGGCCATTTGGGCCTCCTGGGGGGGATCCATGTCTAGTACACCTCCTGCTGTGATCGATCTCCTCCGAGATGGCCTCAAGATGGCCTCCAAGGCAATAGTGCCCCAAGAAGGCCACAAGAGGCGTCCAGGAGACCCCAAGAGGCCCCCAAGAGGCCACCGAGAGGCCCCCGAGAGACCCCCAAGTGGCCCCAAGAGGCCCCAAGAGGCTCCCCCGAGGGACCCAAGACGCTCCAGGCCTTCATTCCACTGCATGCTCATCCACATCCCTGATCAAGGCAGCTAGCCTGAGCATCGTTTCTGGATGGGCTGGTGGCGTTACGCGGAGCGTCTAGAATTTGTTCCTCAGGACACTCCATCGATAAACAAATACAAGGTCGTCCGCCTGAACTTCGAATGCCAGAATGTTGGCTCATCATCATCATCATCATCATCATCATCATCATCATCATCATCAGCAGCATCAGCATCAGCATCAGCATCATCATCATCATCATCATCATCATCATCATCATCATCATCAGCAGCATCACCAACATCATCACCATCATCAGCAGCAGCAACAGCATCAGCATCAGCATCAGCATCATCATCATCATTATCAACAACAACAACAACAACAAAAACAACAACAACAAAAACAACAACAACCACAACGAACCACATAGCAAAAGTAACAACAATAACAACAACCACCCCAACAACAACAGCAGCAGCAACAGCAGCAACAACATTATCATCATCACATCAGCATCATCATGATCATCGGCATCATCGGCATCATCATCATCCGCATCATCATCATCCTCATCATCATCATCATCATCATCATCATCATCATCATCATCATCATCATCATCATCATCATCATCATTAGCATCATCATCAGCATCATCATCACCATCATCATCAGCAGCACCAGCAACATCATCATCATCATCATCATCATCATCATCATCAGCAGCATCCATCAGCAGCATCATCATCATCATCATCATCATCATCATCATCATCATCATCAGCAGCATCCATCAGCAACATCATCATACTGGTCGTATTCCTGCTGCTCCCTCCTCCTCCTCCACCTCCTCCTCCTCCCCTTTCTTGCCCCCAAGCCTCTTGCCCTCCAGCGAGCCCCCCCCAACGAGCGCAACGGAAGTTCCTCTGCACCCGCGACCACCTCTGCGGGCCACACCAGCGGTCGCCAGGGAGGACGGGGGGGAAGGAGGGGGCGGAACAGGAGGGGGACGAGGAGGAGGAGGAAGGGAGAGAGAGAAGGGGACGAGAGGAGGAGGGCGTGAAGTGAGAATAAGAGGGAGGAAGGAGGGAAAGAAGCAGGGCGACTACCCTGCCGCTGAGGAGGAGGGAGAGGAGGGGGAGAAGGAAGAGGAGCAGGGAACTCGTGGGAACGAACAGAAGCTACCCAGCCCCATTAAACGGAACTGGACCAGGGTAAGCGGGACTGGACCAGAGGGGGACGGTTTGGGACCGCGGATATGCCAGCGAAGATGCTGAAATTAACCTCCCAGAAGTTGCAACCGAGGAGGGGGAAGGGGAAGAAGAGAAAGCAGAAAAGGCAGCGAACGTCCTCGGCCACCCTTCCCAGACATCCGATGGACTGGTTCTTTCAGTTCGCGGACCCCAGAAGCTTCGACTTCTTACCCAGGGCTAGTTCTTCGCCCTGGTTCCATGCGTGATCGTTCTGGGAACCCCCAAAGGGCCCCACGAGGACGGAATGATGAAGAACGCCGGAGTTGACAAAACAACCAAAAAACAAAACGACCAACAAAACCGCGAAAGCATGCGCTCCCAGAGAGATCCGCGCCTTCTTCTTCGCGGCTTCTCGGCACACCAGGTGCCTCGCGGCTCCAGCTCTCCCCGGGGTCGAGCCCTGTGCGCGCCAGGGGGGAAGAGGAGGAAGAAGGGAGAGGAGGAAGAGGAAGGAGGAGGAGGAGGAGGGAGAGGAGGAGTTTGAATTCAAGGCCTCTGCGACGGTTCCCGTCCAGCTTGGCGTGTTGGTGTGAGTGCACAAATGACCGCAGCGCATGTAGAATTTAATCCAGTGCCGCGTAACTGATATGCCAAGGTGGCTGCGCTATACTACTAAAGCGCGGCTTGAATCGACAGCCTGGGCTGTACGTCCTTGGCTCTCTCTGCACCCCGTCAATAGTAAGGTCGCCTACGCTGCTGCCTTGTTGTAGCCGTATAGCTACACCCGCCAACTGTGCACAAAGGGAACCGCAAGCTGCCAATTCAGCAGTTGTGGAGGTCGCAGCGCCCACTCCGAAGCCAGAGACCATCCAGGGCTGAAAGTCATCTGCTCGCCCATCCGCGCCCAGAGAGCACACACAGCTCCAGCCTGTTCGTCGAACCCCCCCGTGGAATCGCGCCACCAAGTCCACCACCCTCCTTCCTCTGGATAGTTAATCCCCACGTTGGTACGTTGATCGCTGCAACCTCAGTACGAGTCTTCAAGGCGAACGTTGCAGTCTCGTTGCACTCCCAGTTGTACTCGCGAAAATTGCGGCGAGCTCAATCCTCCCCCTCAGCCGTTGGAAAAAAACAAACAAGACTTCCATGCATGGCGGAGGTCCCGTCTACCTCTTTTGCGCGGGGACAACAGCCACCCGCTTGCGAAACCTCACTTTCCGCCGAGCCGGTCCCTGAGGTTCACAGCTCGCTACCCCAGCCGCTTCCATGTACACCAGCGCACCACCGAGCACCCGCTGGGTCACAGTGAGCTGGCGGATAGAGAGGACACCTTTGGCCCAGAGGCGGAGCGACAGCCCCACAGAGCGCCGCCGTACTGCGGGCCGCCACGCAGCACCGGCAGCACCGGTAGCGTCAGGCCGTGCCTTTGCCTGTCGTGCGCTGCCGCGGCCCCATTGACCAAGAGCCCTACACGGTGACAACTTGCCACCATGGCCCAGCTGTCAGATCCACACACACACACCCTTCGCTGCAGTGCCCTCTGCATCATCCATATCCCCCCCTCCCTTCAGCAACTCACCTCAACCACACAACATTTAAGCCAGCCTCCTGATCGGAGGAGACACAACTTGGCACATTGGACTAACCTAGCTGCCGCCCGCACAGTGCCTCGATCATCTCTACCTTGTGTTCATTCTTTTTCACGTATGCATGGTCATGGCACTGGCTGCTTGCAATTATTTGCTGTTTGACTCCACCCCTCAACATGCTGCACGCCTACTCTGCACCCTTGCGGGATAATCATCTTGCACCTGCGCTCTCTGCCACTATTTACATTACGCAGGGTGTACTCCAAGTCTCTTATATGTGTTTCACTTGTCTGCATCGCCTAACCCGGTAGACGCTGCGATCAAGTGATCAGAGTCCGTGCGACGTAAATGGAAGAGGAAGACGAGGCTTCACGGACGCGGGCGGGCGGCGAACCCAGACCTCCAGCGTCACGAAGAGATCACGACAACCAACTGCTCCTCGGCCTGGGCCCCCCAAGACCCGCTACGGGCCCCAGAACGGACAAAACATGACTCGGGATGACACGAAGGGCGCTCAGACGCTGTAGAAGTTAGGATACCGCTACTCTGGCACAGCACGAGCTTTGCGGCCATGCCGCCTCAGTGGAACACAGCAGAAGCACTGAGGCAGCAGCGGAGAAAGGGATCAAGGTCGGGAACTTTTGCTCAGCGCGTCGCGGCCGCGGCCCCGGCGACTCGCCATGCCCTGCGAGTGGATAGCGTGTCGCTCCGCTCCGCGGGGAGGGGAGGCAGGGAACAGCTCGGGGCGTTGACGCAGGGGGACCGGGAAGTGGAGAGCGGGTCGCCCCGAGGCGTGGCGGGCCAGAAGCGGCGAAGCGACACGCTGAGCCCGCTCCAGGGTCCCCCCCCCCCGAGCCTGTATAGCATCCCAGCACACGGGAGTCTCGGGTGACATCGACGCCGCGCACAGATCGCCTCCCGGTCGATCCGCCGTGGCCCCTTCCGGGGCGCACGGCCTTCGATGCCCCCTCCCGGGCGGTACCAGTGCTCCGCCGACTTCCCCGGCGTGCAGGGGCGGGGAAGGGACAGGCAGGGCGGCCGCGGAGGGGGGGAAGAGGAGGCGTGGCAGAGCGACACGCTGAGCCAGGCTTCCCGACCGTTCGAGAGACGAGGAGGGAGAAGGGCGCCCAGAGCGGCGGCGGCACCAGCGGCCACGGGGGGGGCGGCGGCCGGGCTCCTGGGATCCGGCGAGGGGCGCGGAGGCCACCCATCGGGCTCGGGCGCCTGGTCCGGGGCACCAGAGGCTCTTCCTCCTCCTCCTCCTCCTCCTCCTCCTCCTCCTCCTCCTCCTCCTCCTCCTCCTCCTCCTCCGCCTCCTCCTGCTCCTCCTCCTCCTTCTCCTCCTCCTCCGCCTCCTGCTCCTCCTCCTCCTCCGCCTCCTCCTCCTCCTCCTCCTGCTTCTCCGCCTCCTCCTCCTGCTTCTCCGCCTCCTCCTCCTCCTGCTTTTCCGCCTCCTCCTCCTCCTCCACCTCCTCCTCCTCCTGTTCCTGCTCCATCCCTCTTCCATATAAACCACTCCTCCCTGTCGCACCCCCCATACGTGTCGGTAGGGCGGGCCGGGCGTGTCGCCTGAGACTTCTTCGCCACGTACGATCCTGAAGCTTGGAATTTGCGGCAGCTTCACGGATTGAGGGTGGGTCGTTTTCAAAATGTGGCTCTCGCCTTAGCGCCGCGCTCATACACTCTGAAAATCCCACCACTCCTCTGGGCGTAGGTGGTCTAGAGCGGTTTCGCTTCCAACCCCCTTCTTCCCCGTCGGGGGGGCGTTGATCACTGTTCCCTATTATAAACACCCTTCCCCACCCGGCAGGCAGCCAACCCGGCACCATGCACACACCATGAGGGCCCCCCCACCATCCCTGACAAAATACACATTGCGGGGCCCACCCTGCGGCCCTGCCAACACCCTCCACAATCCTTGTCAAAAACCATACGAAGTGCACATTGCAGCAAAATCTGGACAGTGCGCTGGCGCCCTGTGAGCACGTTGCATTGTTTTTGAAAGGGATGGCGGGGCACCCTTAGTGAAGCCGCTTTGCGCAGGACCACCATCCGTGTCAGAAACCATGCGAAGTGCACGCTGCGACAACGTCGTGGGTATTGTGCTGGCCATCCGCGATCACTTCGTATTGTTTTTTGTTGACAGGGACGGCGGTGGTGCCCGCATGATGATGCGTGCTCTGCGCAAGCCCAGGACAATGCTGACGCCCCCCACATCAGCATCTGGACCATTCGGATGGGGGGGCATCACGTTTCATTACCAAGATGGCACACCAACGGCATGTGGAGCCCGCGGCGAGCGTCGCGCACCTGGCGTCCGCTTTGGTTCGCAGTGGCTGTCCATCCAGTGGCGACCCCTGGCTATGCCGAGAGTCGGATGCCACTTATGTGGTAGGAGGGCGGGTGGGAGTAAGCTAGACGGCTTGCGTGCGGAGAAAGTGTCTTGACCCCTCCCCCTACCCCCTCGCCTGGACCCAGAGGGTAAGTTCGCGAGCGGCTAGAGCACCTAAGATGAACCACGACGGCTGCACGGGGGCCTCAGAGAACCCAAGATGACCTCCAAGACGGCTCAACATAGCCCAAGATGGCTGAATATGGCTCCCAGGATGCTCCAAGAAGCCCCACGACCGCTCCAAGACGGCTCCAAGTGGCCACGGAACCCCCCCAAGGGGCCGCCAAGAGGCCAAACTCCTTCAAAAATCTCAGGGAAAACCATGCGGTTTGCCTTCTCGCCTTTTCGCGTCCGACAGCCTTCCACGGCCTCAAGACAGCTCCGAAAAGGCCCCATGGCCCCAAAAAAAAATCCAAGAGAGCCGCGAGACGGCCCCCAAAAGCGCCCAAGAGCGCTCCAAGAGCGCCCCAAGAGGGGCCCAAGAGGCGATTCTGGGGGCTCCCGAGGGGGGAACGCAACTGGAGCTCCCACATGTTTTGGTCGTCTCCTCCAAGATGGCCCCGAGAGCGCTCCCAAGGCTTCCACGAGCGCCTCAAGAGGGCCCCAGGAGGCGCCCAGGAGGCCCCAACAGGCGCCCAAGAGGCCTCCAAGGGGCTCCCAAGAGACCCCCAAGAGGCCCCAGGAGGCTCCCCGAGGCACCCAAGACGCTACAAGAGGCCTCCAGGACCGCCAAGAAGCCCCCAAGACGCTCCATGAGGCCGCAAAAAAAATCCAAGAGACACTCGAGGAGACTCTGAGAAGCATCTCGCCTCGGCCGCGAGCGAAAGCGCAGGCGGCGAACAGGGTGTCTGGGCCGACGGACAAGCCTAATTAGCTGCAGGGCGCAGCGCGAGCCGGCCGGGCCAGCCCTCAGAGGCAGCAGCTGCGGCAGCGGCGGCGGGGGGCTGGCTGGCTGAACTGCAACGCCCAGGGAAGCTCGAGCATCATGCAGACCTGCGGCAAAATGCCAGGGAATTCTGAGTTGTGCGCCGCGGCGCCAGTCCACCACGGTGTAGGTGCTATGTCGAGGCAGGCAGAGAGTGGCCTACACGCACTATCCGCACAGACACTGGTACACACTGGCCATGTCGCCACAGGGCGCCAAGGGCCAGGGCCGTGTCGACGGCGAAGACCTGCCTGGTCGGCTGGGACGGGTCGAGGATGGAAGCACAGCGTCCGACGGAAGGCTGGACCGCTCCGAGACGCCACACACGTATCCTGTGGTGAGCGCCAGTCCCGAGCAAGTAGCAACGAACCGGCCCGGGAGGCGATGGCACCTGTGGGCCGCTGGTGGGGTAACGCGAAACGTCAAGAATCCTACCAGCCCTCTGGGCGTAGGTGGTCCAGGGCGCTTCCTTCTTCCACTTCGGGGGAGTGTTTACCACTGCTCCCTATTAATATACACCCCCTGCCCCAGGCGACCAGCAGCCACTCACGAACCATGCCCCCCCCCACCCCCCACCATCCATGTTACAAAACAAAACAAAATACATGTTGCCTCCACATTAGGAGCATGCGAGGCCAACCCGATGCGGCTGGCCCCCCCCCAAAAAACATCCCTGTCAAAAAGCAATGCAAAGTACACTGTGGGGCAATGCAAAATACACTTTGGGGCAAGAAAGATTGAGTCATGTTCGTGGAGCCCCGAGTACTTCGCATTGTTTTTGGCATGGACGGCGGGGGTCTCAGCATGTTGCCTGCTACGCGCAGGGCTACCACCCCTAACATAACTACCCAGGGACGTACCCAACCCTTTGTATACATGAAGCGACTCTACACCGGATCACTCAATACAAAGGCGAGCACTGAAGGATCCTCCGTGCCCTTGAACGATTCGCCAAAGAACGTCGGCCCAGAGTCACATGTTCACATCTTCGGCGTCGCTCTTGAGTCAGATCGTTAGCAGGAAGGCGGCCAGGGAGTGTGAAAACAAGGAGAGACGCTTGCATAAATCGTGGGAGCAGCGCAGATGGACCCCCCAAGGTCGCAACCCAGCCCCCCAGAGGATGGCGAGGTCTCATGGTGATCTGCGTAAGACGCACCTCCGCTGGGCCTCCCAGGAGCCCGCGAAAGTGGCGACAGTTTCGCAGACCGCAGCCCCCCAGGGAACGGCCAGGTCCCATGGTGATCTGCGTAAAACGCACCTCCGCTGGACCTCCCAGGAGCCCACGAAAGTGACGACAGCTTCGCAATCGCAGCCCCCTAGGGACGGCGAGGTCTCATGGTGGCCCCCGTAGGACACACTTCCGCTGGACGTCCAGGAGCCCACGAAAGTGGCGACAGCTTCGCAGATCGCAGCCCCCCAGGGACGGCAAGGTCTCATGGTGGCCCTCGTGGGACATCCCCCCGCTGGACCTCCCAGGAGCCCAAGAAAGCAGCGATGGTTTCGCAGATCGCAGCCCCCCAGGGACGGCAGGGTCGCATGGTGGTCCCCGTGGGACACCCCTTCTGCTGGACCTCCCAGGAGCCCAAGAAAGTGGCGACAGTTTCGCAGACCGCAGCCCCCCAAGGACGGCGAGGTCTCATGGTGGTCTTCGTGGGACACCCCTCCGCTGGTCCTCCCAGGAGCCCACGAAAGTGGCTACAGCTTCGCAGATCGCAGCCCCCGAGGGACGGCGAGGTCTCATGGTGGCCCCATTGGGGCACCCCTCCGCTGGACCTCCCAGGAGCCCACGAAAGTGGCTACAGTTTGGCAGATCGCAGCCCCTCAGCGGCGGCGAGGTCTCATGGTGGTTCCCGTGGGACACCCCTCCGCTGGACCTCCCAGGAGCCCACGAAAGTGGCTACAGCTTCGCAGATCGCATATCCCCAGGGAACGGCCAGGTCCCATGGTGGCCCCCGTGAGACACACCTCCGCCGGACCTCCAGGAGCCCACGAAAGTGGCGACAGCTTCGCAGATCGCAGCCCCCCAGGGACGGCAAGGTCTCATGGTGATCTGCGTAAGACGCACCTCCGCTGGACCTCCCAGGAGCCCACGAAAGTGGCGACAGCTTCGCAGACCGCAGCACCCCAGCGGCGGCGAGGTCTCATGGTGGTCTTCGTGGGACACCCCTCCGCTGGACCTCCCAGGAGCCCACGAAAGTGACGACAGCTTCGCAGATCGCAGCCCCCCAGGGAACGGCCAGGTCCCATGGTGGTCCCCGTGGGACACCCCTCCGCTGGACCCCCCAGGAGCCCGCGAAAGTGGCGACAGTTCCGCAGATCGCAGCCCGGCGGCCCCGTAGGCGACATAGGGCGCAGCCAGCTTTTCATCCCGAGTCGTTTTGTTGACGGTCATGGGGCCAGGCGAGGGCCTCCAGAGGCCGAAGACGGCCAGGAGCCTTCCGCCGTGCCGTTTTCACGGCGCGGGCATGCCTGGCCGACCTCTGCCCCTGAACTCTGCGGCGTCCAAGAGTGGGGGCGTCCAAGAGGGGGGGTCGCAAATCATGGCCCGAGGCATGTGCGCAGACCTGGGGGGGGCCACGGAACGCATTGAAATAAGGGGAGGGGCCGCGAAATCTGGGGAAACGTCATGGCCCTGGCCATGATATCGACCGCTCCTAGCTGTCACCCCCCTTCTTTCGACGACTCCGAAGGGCGTGGTTTGCAAAGGGTGTGGTTTGCAACCCGCACCCTGGGGGGCGGGCGAGAACCTCGACAGAGTTCTCCGCCGCGCCCCGACGAGGCCCGACGAGAGCAACGTGGTGCCCCACAAGCCCCGACGACTCAGATCGCAAACCACACCCTGGCGCACCTTGGACGCCCACAACTTGTTTACGCATTGGTGGGGGCCCCTCCAAGACCTCCAGAGGCTTCTAGGAACCATTGGAGACTAGACCTCCGGGGAGGGCGGAGGAGGAGTACGAAAGGGAGGAAGAAAAGGAGGAAGAACAGGAGGAGAAGGAGGAGGAGGGGCCAACGCCGTGATATAGGAGGAGGTGGGGGGAATGGGATGCAGAGATTTCAGCCCCGTCCGCCCCTCTTCCCAGACCCCCGAGTCTCGACCCCACATTCCCCTGGACCCCTTTTCATGCTGAGTCGTTTTTTGACGGCCCCGAGGCCCGGGAAGGGCCCACAGGGGCCGAAAATAGTGAAAAACCTCCCGTCGTGTTTTTTCCTTGAATCGAAAGGGTTTGGGCCTCTTGGACGCCCCAGGTGAGCAGAAGAGGCCCCCAGGGAGGGCGCCCTGACCCACGCGCCCGGAGGCGGTGACCGCCAGCCTGGGCCGCCGGGAAGGAGGCACCAGGAGCCCCACTGCGCCAGCGCGGCGAGCAGGAGGCAGGGCGCCGCGACCTCGCGGCGGGCCAGGAGGAGGAGGAGGAGGAGGAGGAGGAGGAGGAGGAGGAGGAGGAGGAGGAGGAGGAGGAGGAGGAGGAGGAGGAGGAGAGAGGAGGAGGAGAGAGGAGGAGGAGGAGGAGGAGGAGGAGGAGGAGGAGGAGAAGGAGAAGGAGAAGGAGAAGGAGGAAGGAGAAGGGAGGAGAGGAGGAGAAGGAGAGGAGGAGGAGGAGGAGGAGGAGGAGAGGCGGAGAGGAGGAGGAGGAGGAGGAGGAGGGAGGAGGAGGGGGGACGAGGAGGAGAGGAGGAGGAGGAGGAGGAGGAGGAGGAGGAGGAGGAGGAGGAAGGGGACGAGAACGAGAGGAGGAGGAGGAGGAGGAGGGGGAGGAGGAGAAGCAGAAGGAGGAGGAGGAGCAGGAGGAGGAGGAGAGGAGGAGGAGGAGGGGGAGGAGGAGGAGGAGGAGGAGGAGGGAGGAGGAGGGGGAAGAGGAGGAGGAGCAGCAGGCGGAGGAGGAGGAGGAGGGGGGGAGGAGGGGACGAGAAGGAGGAGGAGGAGGAGGAGGAGGAGGGGAGGAGGAGGAGAGGAGGAGGAGGAGGAGGAGGAGGGGAGGAGGAGGACGGCGGAGGAGGCGGAGGAGGAGGAGGAGGGAGGAGGAGGGGACGAGACGAGGGGAGGAAGGAGGGAGGAGGGGGAGGAGGAGGAGGAGGAGGAGGAGAAGGAGAAGGAGAAGAAGAAGGAGGAGCAGGAGGAGGAGAGGAGGAGGAGGAGGAGGAGGAGGAGGAGGAGGAGGAGGAGGAGGAGGAGGAGGAGGAAGAGTAACCTTATTACGGTCCAGCAGTCCAGCACCACACATCGGATCAGAAGCCCAATCTACCCGCCATCACCCAGCCTCAGAACCCCCATAGTTTGCACACAACCAGAGGCCGCCAGGGCTCAGCGCTGGATAAATGGAAGACCCTCAGAGCTAGCATCTCAAATGCTCGCTACAAAGCAGATATACTTCCAACCGAAGGGACCCCCGATGTAATTCCAAGACGCACAGACGGAAACCACCCCAATGCCTTCACACACGGAGCAGATTGGAATGGTGCTACCCGCCCACGACGTCAACGACCAAAGGTTGTTGGACTACATCGAGACGATGCGCAACCACCGGAAGCAGCACCAACTGTACCTGACAGAAGTACGACAGCGCAACCTACGCCAAGCAGCACTACGACAACGAGAGGAAATACACAGTGCCATGGCAACGCCAACCATGCCCAAGCCCAAGTTTACAGTACCAAAATACAAGGCGCCACCGACTGCGAAAGCAAGGTTCCCAACACTACAGGCGGACGACAGCCCTTACTGGGAATGCTAGACGTACCACACACACACCACAGTCTGCTCTGGTTATCAAGATTGGACAGTACTACGGCAGGGATCGCAGAGTCTACGACCTTGCTACATCCACGACAATATCCGCCAGTACTTCAATCGCCGCAGAACGAGGATTTCTGAAGGCTCTCCCTCTCGTTTCTGTACCCCCTAGTATGTTGGTCTCAAAGCTCCTCCTACTATCGTCTGTCGTTCGTATTTCCTACTCGTCCCACCTTTCCCGCTCAATTTGCCACAGCGGGCTACTCCTCCTCCCGCAGGGGAAGCGCCCCACTGATTGGTGATGAAGGCCGAGGCCCTGTACTTCTGCCTGCGGAGGCATAGGACTTCGACGCTCGCCTCTTTCGGTGTGTCACCCCTCCTGCTATCCCCTTTTCTTCCCCGTCGCTGCGGCCTGTTGAACAGCCGCGACAGCAGCCCTTGCGCTTAACACATATATCGTTCAGGCCCTCGTCTTTCACGAGCACCCGATCGGCGTCCCGCACCTGCTATCACCGACGTACCTGTCACCTGTGTTGCCTGCCAGCAAGTTGTCGTGACACCAGCTTTAGCCATATCAGATAGGCAGTCAGCGCTATCATTGGCAGTATTAAGATTGGGTGGTGGAAGCGTCATGCACTTTAGGGACGGGTTATGAAGATTCGGGGGGGGCCAACTTCTGGCCAGTTTGGCCTTCTGCGGATGGGCTCTGCCCCACTGATGGCTGCCGTGCATCGACCTTCCATATCACACCTCAGCGGTTCGAACATAGCCGTTTCACAGCCGCCTATCATCCCCCGCACACACATTCGCGCTACTCTTTCCCTCTATAGGCCAGCCATCACACTTTGAGTCATCGATTCCCGACAGCAGCACACCCAGAACGCACTCTTACATCTGACGCTTCCCTCCGTCTACAGCCCCGTACGCTTTTGCTTCTAAGTCTCGCACTGTAAATTTCGCCACCCTCCCCCCCCTGGACAAGGAGTGGCCACCCATCTAACCGATACAGGTAGCAGCCCATGGTCTGCTACCACCCTCTCTTCCGTTCTCGCACGCATACCTCTAGGCATCCAAATGCGTGCCACTGCTCGCATATAGGCTAGTCAATCATGCGCCAGACCTTGCAGTTGCTAGCCAGCAGATACCAAGGGTTCGTGCTTAACCCGAAAAAGACAACAACAAACAAAAACACAGGATCCTGGGACAAAGAAGGTTCGGAGTGAACCGAAAACCTGGGCGGTATCCCAAGAAATGCAACCTAACACGCACTCTCATGTTGCAGCTTCAAGCCGCCTTTGCGAGGCCACACTAATGCACAGGCTGCTGCAGCTGCAGCCACCGCACAGGCCAGTATTCAATGTGCCAGCCTTAATGATTGCTTTATCTTTCCACCTCTGACTTCTGCACCTCTAGCACAGCCCGCTCACAGTCGCCAATGCTCTCTCACATTCGCGCTACTGTCTGCAGCCACAGGCCAGCGCAGCCTGAGCCAGCCTGCACACAGGAGGGTGCTGGAGGATGATATATTCGCAGCTTCTGCTCTCAAGCCTACTTCGCTACCATTCAGCTCATCTGGCACAAGACTTAAGTCTCTGCCTAGCCACAGCCAAGCCATCGCGTCCAAACCATTACGTTCAAGGCCAGGCAGTGCCGGCCCACAACAATTACTCGAGGTGTGGATGGGGATTGAAAGGGTGGATATGGCTGGGTGAATGTTTGGAGGACGGTTGGCTACCTGCTGCTGCATTGCAGCATGCACATCGGCCTCCGAGACGCCGCAAAAGAGCCCCAGAAGCCACCCCAAAAGGTCCACGAGAGGGCAAAAACATTGATTTCCCACGAGTGCTTCAATGATTTGGGGGTCCTCGACTTTTCGACCTCCTGACGCTCCAAGACGGCCCAAGAGGCCCCCAGGACCGCTCCAAGACGGCCCAAGAGGCCCCCAGGAGCGCCCCAACACGGTCCAAGAGGGCTCCAAGACGGCCCCAGAGGCGCCGAAGGCGGCCCAAGAGGGCCCCAAGACAAAGGGCCCAAGAGGGTGAACACGAACCGAAAATCCGCGTTTTCCGCCCCGAGAAGAGGAGGCCCCAAGGGGCCCCCACACGGCCCCAACAGACCCCCAAGAGGCCCCGAAGACGCCCCAAGAAGCCCCAAACTGGCCCACAAGAGGCCTCAAAACGGCCCCCAAGAGGCCCCCGAGAGGCCTCCCGCGACATCCCAACGAGCATCCCAAAGGCATATGACTCACAACCCAGGCGCGGTTGCAATATGGGCCACAGGCCATTAGATGACAGGGTTTCTGGGATTAGCGCCCCAGAAATCCCAAGCATCCGAATGAAATAGCAAAATGTTTTGGCTCCGCGTGTCTGCAGGATGGCGCACAAGCATTGGGCTGTCTCTACGGGGGGAAAAGCGCCTTTTGCAGATTCCGCATTGTGCTGCTGTTGGGCGTTGGCCAGCCGAGCAGCCAGAGCGCGCTTGCCAGTAGAGTCGAACAAATGCTCAAGCAGGCTTCAAGGAGTTATCCCAGTGCGACCCTACCTAGGGGTTGGAGCCCCTAGGAAAGCAGCATTAGTAGTAACAGAAAAGCTAAGCTAAAGCTAAGATAAAGCTAAGCTAAAGCTGAGCTAAAGCTAAGCTAAAGCTAAGCTAACGCTAAGCTAAATCTAAGCTAAAGCTAAGTTAAAGCTAAGCTAAAGCTAAGATAAAGCTAAGCTAAAGCTAAGCTAACGCTAAGCTAGAGCTAAGCTAAAGCTAAGCTAGAGCTAAGATGAAGCTAAGCTAAAGCTAAGCTGAAGCTAAGCTGAAGCTAAGCTAAAGCTAAGCTGAAGCTAAGATAGAGCTAAGCTAAAGCTAAGCTGAAGCTAAGCTGACGCTAAGCTAGAGCTAAGCTAAAGCTAAGCTGAAGCTAAAGCTGAAGCTAAGCTAAAGCTAAGCTAAAGCTAAGCTAAAGCTGAAGCTAAGCTAAAGCTAAGCTAAAGCTAAGCTCGAGCTAAGCTAAAGCTAAGCTAGAGCTAAGTTGAAGCTAAGCTAACGCTAAGCTAGAGCTAAGCTAAAGCTAAGCTAAAGCTAAGCTAAAGCTAAGCTAGAGCTAAGCTAAAGCTAAGCTAGAGCTAAGCTGAAGCTAAGATGAAGCTAAGCTGAAGCTAAGCTGAAGCTAAGCTAGAGCTAAGCTAGAGCTAAGCTAGAGCTAAGCTAGCGCTAAGCTGAAGCTAAGCTGAAGCTAAGCTAAAGCTACGTTAAAGCTAAGCTGAAGCTAAGCTAAAGCTAAGCTAAAGCTAAGCCAAAGCTAAGCTAAAACTAAGCTAAAGCTAAGCTAAAGCTAAGCTAAAGCTAAGCTGAAGCTAAGCTAAGCTGGGTGAACCCAGGGGGCGCGACTGGGGGAACCGCGGGGCGGGGACTGGGGGAACCGCCCGGGGCGATTTACACTGCCCGGCCCCTTTAAGCTAAGAGAGTAAGAACCCTTCTAGGCAGAGCCTAGGTAGGGAAAAAGAAAGACAGGAAAAGGAGAAGAAAAGGAAAAGGGCACTGCGACATCGCCGAAAGAAAGAATGCGATGGATGGGTACTGGGGGGCTGCGCATATAAATATAGTTATATGTGTGTATACATCGGGAGAGAGACATACAAAAGAGGGAGAGGTATAGAGATGCACATAGCTTTATAGCTTTACAGCCAGCTACACATCAACCTAGCGCCATAGCTGTCTGGTTCTGAGAATAACTACACCTGTGGCTGTCTCTACCAGTCCTCGAACCTCCAACGAACTCTCTAATTTCCTACATTACCGTGTACATGGCGGGCTGCCTGCACGTCTTAACCAACCACGGGAGAGACGCGCAACACAGGACGACACGGGAGGCAAGTCGTGGGCCATGGGATAACCACAAGACAGATACAGGGACACAGTCCGCGCGGGGACGGAGTCCAGAAAATTTATGTGAAGAGGTGTGCTTTACAACGGCACTCTCGCCATCGCACTGCTTCGCCTGGCCCGCACGCACAACACGAACCGAAACCGAAGTCGGTTTCCCAGCGGGGGCTCCGTTTTCATTCAGGCTCAGCCCCCAACCTCCGACATTACCAGGGAGGAAAGGCGGCGCTGAAGAGGGGATGAACATGATGAAGAGAGAGATGATGCACAGTCTTGGCCCTGTGAAGACCTCTGGAAATAACATTTCACCATAGACGTTAGGAGAAAACGATATGAACAGTTCCTCGGGGTGGCAATCAAGAGCCTACGGTTGGTGTTGACAAATAGCGTGCAACATCGATCTCCGAAAGGCACGCTATCACTGGGAGGCGCTCCCCCCGCGAGGGCCCCTTCTGTGCACGCTTTCCCCCTCCCAGGGCTTCTTCGGTGCACGCTGTCCCCAAGCTGGGGGGATAGCGTGTAATAAGCGGTCCGGCGGCGCCACATCGCATGCTACCTTTCCAGCGCCAACAAGCTGTCCGCCTTTCTCCGTTCGCCACGTCCCCCCCCCGCCTCTGACAGGAGGAGAACGAAGGGTACGGGGAGGACGCCCGCGACCGCCCGTCGGCTTCTTGCGCCGAGCGTCACCATCGCCTGGCTGGCGGAGAGGGTCCCGGGGCGTAGCGATGGGGCCAGGCCGCCCGCTGGGCTCGGGCCAGCAGCGGGGGCGCGCCGAACGGGCTGGCGGGCGATGGCCGCAGGCGCGGCAGCGGCAGCGGAAGCACCCTCAGCGGTCCTCGCCGCTCGAGCCCGCGCCGGCCCGAGAGCGCTGGCCCCGACGCAGGCAGGCGGCAAAGGCGAAGGCGAAGGCCGCCCTCCTGCTCCGCTCAGAGGCAGGTGAGAATCCATCGGCCCTGGGCCCCGATCGGGGGAAAGTAGGGGTCGCCCCCCTGCTCTTTTGGCCCGACCAACCCCCCCTGTCTCCACACGCCCCCCTCTCATCCTCCTCTTCCTCCTCCTTCTCCTCCTCCTCCTCCTCCTCCTCCTCCTCCTCCTCCTCCTCCTCCTCCTCCTCCTCCTTCTCCTCCTCCTCCTCCGGCTCCGCCTCCGCCTCCTCCTCCGCCTCCTCCTCCTCCTCCTCCTCCTCCACCTCCTCCTCCTCCTCCTCCTCCTCCTCCTCCTCCTACTCGTCCGCCTCGCCCATTCGTCAATGGAGGGCGCGTGATCCGCCCGCCGCGTCGCCAGGCTTCGTGCTGCACGCCGCGCGAGGCGCCAGGGGGCGCGGTCATCTTCGCGCCCTCGCGGCGCCCCTCTGGAGAGCGATGGCTCTCTGGCCAGGGGCCGCGACGCGCGAGGCGCGGACATCTTCGCGGCCCTGCGGGCGACCTAGCTACTTGGAATTGCGCGAAGGCGCTCTAGCTGGATCCAAGGTCGAGCGCAACTCTCGCTCCCAGACCCAGGGTCGAGCGCCACCTCGACCCACATCGCGCCTTGCCCTGCCGGGGGGAGGGGGGGGGGCCTGTGCCGCCAGAGGCCGAGGGCCTCTCGCACCCAGAGGGCATCTGCAAAGCTGCCCTGGGGATTTGAGCTTTCTCGAGGCCGTCCAAGCCCCCATAGGGGCCCTCATGAGGGCCGCTAGAGAGCTCACATGAAGGCGTTTACTCCCCAGGCACACTGGAACCTTCTGTCTTGAAAAGCCTTGGAGGCCCGTGGAAGTGACATGGGAGTCCACGCGTCGGACTATGCCACGCACACATCGGCTTTCGCAAGGCCGAAGACGAGGATGGAGAGGGAGGCGAGCAGGTTCACAGCACATGCAATGAACAAACAGATCGCAAGAGCACAGGGGATATCTAGTCGATGCCAACATGACGGTCGAGACGTCTGCTAGGGGCCATGTCGGAAGGGTACACTTGCTATCCTGAGCACGGGCTGCATGCCAAGACGCAAAAGAGGGAGGGAGGCACGCGGGCAGCGCAAGCGCGCAAGGTTGCGATGACCGACGGCAATGGCAAGGGTGGCAAAACACTTCTCGCGTCCCCGCCGCGGCTAGTACCCCCCCTGGTGGCCACGGCATCCGAGAGAGCATGCGCAAAGACAGAAGACCAGGCCTCGCCCGCTGCCGCTGCCACCGCCGCCGCTGCCGCCGCCCGCTGCCGCCGCCGCTGCCGCCGCCGCCGACCCCCCCCGCCGAAGACGCTGGCAAAGACTGCGCCGCGCCGCTGCCGCCGCCCGCTGCCGCCGCCGCTGCCGCCGCCCGCTGCCGCCGCCGCCGCGGCCCCCGCCGCCGCTGCCCCCGCCGCCGTCGCTGTCAACGACTGCGACGCGCAGCCGCCTGCGGCGCGCAGCCCGCACGCACCCCGCGGCCTCCGCACACCACGCCCCGCCTCTGCAGGGCCCAGCCGCAGCAGCGCGCGCCCGCGCCTGCGCAGCCGCAGCTGCGCCGACGGCGCCTGCCGCAGGCCCCGAGCGACCGCGCGGCCGCCGCGAGCGCGCGGCGCCCCCGCCCGCGCCGCGAGGGGGGGGCTGCCTCCGAGGCCGTCGTCACGCAGCGCCGCCGAGGAGGCCTCCAGGGCGCCGAGGATCCTGCAGCGCAGGCCCGCGCACCCAGCACTGGGAGGGTCGGCCACGATGGCAGCGAGGGCGCCGCCCACCTCGGCCCTCCACGCGCTGGCCACGCGGCTCCAGTCGCCGGAGAACTCGGCGCAGGAGCGCAGGAAGAGTGCCGTGTGCCGCGCGTTGAGGCTGAGGAAGCCCTCGTACCCTGTGACGCCCAGGCCCTGCGAGACGCACAGCGTCGTGTGCGGCAGCCCGCCGTGGAAGAAGAAAACGTCCCCCGGGCGCAGGAGCACCACGCGCGCCGCCTTCTCCAGCGCGCGCAGGTGGCGGCCAGAGAGGGGGTACTGAAACACCTCGCCGTAGAACTCGCGCAGCACAGCATCGCCGACTGCACCATCGGGCCAGACTGCGAAGAGCTTGTACCCGCGCCAGTTCTTTCCCACATTGCTCTCGGGACGCTGGTCCACGTGGAGGCCCTGCAGGACTGGAGGGACAGGGGGGGCAGAAGATCCCACTCCGCCACGACGGGACCCTCGGTATCGCCGCGACTGTGGGAGGGAAGTGAGGACACGAGACGGGACGGGGCGGGACGGTATGGGAAGGGAGAGCGGAGAAGGAGGGAAAGAGCGGGATGAGAAGGTAGGGAGGCAGGGAGGCCATGATGCTGATGGTGGATGTGATGCTGATGATGATCACGATGCTGATGATTATGACGATGCTAAAGATGATGATGGTGATGATGATGATGATGCTGATGATGATGATAGTGGCGATGGTGATGACTGGTGATGGTGATGGTGATGGTGATGGTGATGGTGATGGTGATGGTGATGGTGATGGTGATGGTGATGGTGATGGTGATGGTGATGGTGATGGTGATGGTGATGGTGATGGTGATGGTGATGGTGATGGTGATGGTGATGGTGATGGTGATGGTGATGGTGATGGTGATGGTGATGGTGATGGTGATGGTGATGGTGATGGTGATGGTGATGGTGATGGCCATGGTCATGGTAACGGTGAATGGTGAATGGTGATGGTGATGGTGATGGTAGTGGTGATTGAGATGATGATGATGATGATGATGATGATGATGATGGTGACGGTGATGGTGATGTTGATGTTAGCGGTGATGGTGATGGTGATAGTGGCGATGGCGATGGCGATGGTGATGGTGATGGTGATGGAGATGGGGATGGTGATGCTGATGGATATGGTGATGGTAATGGTCATGGTAACGGTAATGGTGATGGTGATGATGATGGTGATGCTGATGGTGATGGTGATGGTGATGGTGATCGTGATGGTGATTGTGATGATGATGGTGACGGTGATGGTGATGGTGATGTTAGCGTTGATGGTCATGGTGATGGTGACGATGGTGATGGTGATGGTGATGGAAATGGCAATGAAGAAGGTGAGGATGGCTATGACGACGACTATTAATAGAACTATGGCTATGCTACGAATATGACTATGACGATGACTATGGCTATGGGTATGACTATGAGCATGCCTACGACCATGCCTATGACCATAACTACGACTATGACTAGGATTACTCCTATGACTATGACTACGGTTTTGACTGTGACTACGACTGCGACTAGTGTTATGACGATGACTATGGATACGCCTCAGACCATGACTGTGACTACGACTACAACTACGAGTATGACTACGACAATGACTACGACTGTGACCATGACTATGCCTATCACTATGCCCATGACTACGACTATGACTATGACTACGACCATGACTGGGGCTATGACTGAGGCTATGACTATGACGGTGGCTACGACTGACACTATGATTATGACTACGACTACGACTATGACTATGACTACGACTAGGACTAGGACTATGACTACGACTATGACTAAGGCCTTGACTGAACTGTGGTCATGACTCTGACTATGACTATGGCTATGGAGATGACTAGGACTTTGACTATCGCTAAGAGTGTGACTACGACTAAGACTACGACTGTGACTATGTAAATAGTAATGGCTACGGTTATGACTTTGGCAGTGGATATTACTACGATTGTGACGACGGGTAAGATTACGAATACGACTACGAATGCGAATGTACCTGTGACTACGACTACGCCTGTGACTGCGACTATGATGCTATTGATGATTAGTGTGATGATGATACTGCTGACGATGATGATGATGATCCTGTCGATGATGATATTCAACGCTTGTGAGGAAGAGGGATGAGCGAGAGCCCATACCCAATCCTCCTTCTGACCCGATGTCCCCGCACAGGCGTTGCACCGCGAAGGGACGGACACGAGGCCGACGCGGACACCTATCGAAGCGCGGCTACCCTCGCGCCTACGCCGAGAACTGAGATCCGCGCCTCCAGTCACGAGCCAGGCACCGCACTGCCTCGCCTTCGGGCCGGCACGGGACAAGGGAGGGACCTTGCCTCCCGCGGGCAATGCACACTCGGGCGGGAGAGCCAGACGCCTCCCCTCCGTCAAAGATGCTACGACTCGAAGAGAAAGAGGGAAAGAGAGAGAGAGAGAAAAAGAAAGAGAGAGAGAGAGAGAAAGAGAAAGAGAGAGCACGAGCATGTTTTACTCACCCACAGTCACCGCGCAGGCCAGCGGCTACGCATGCAAACGTCCTCCACAAGCGCGCCGAGGTGTCCTGATGGCGATGATGACGATGATGATGGTGCTGATGATGATGATGATGATGATGATGACGATGATGATGATGATGAGGTTGATGATGGTGATAATTAAAATGATGATGATGATAGTGACGTTGATTAGTAGTGATTATGGTGATGATAATGATGATGGTGGCGATGATGGTTATGATAAAGACAAGTGGTGATGATGATCATGATGGTGATAATAACAATGGTGATGATGGTGATGGTGACGGTGATGGCGATGGTGATGGTGATGGTATTGATGATGATGGTGATTGTGATGGTGATGGTGATGATGGTGATGATGGAGATGGTAATGCTGATGAGCATGATCGTGCTGATGATTATGAGAATAATGAACATACTGGTGGTGAGGATGATGATGAGGCTGATGATGAAGATGATGAGGATGATGCTGATGGTGATGATGCTGATGATAATTATGATGATGATGTGGGTGATGATCATCATGATGATGATGAGGAGGATTGCGATGAGGATAATGATGGATGGCGATGGTGATAGTGGAAGTGACGGTAGTGTTGATGATTATGATGATGATAACGAGGAGGAAAAGGATGGTGATGATGATGGTGATGATGATGGTGGTGGTGATGCTGGTGGTGATGATGATGACGATGACAATGATGAGGAGAAATAGGAGACAAACCCGAAAGCTACTCGAACTCTTGCTCTGACCACTGAATATCGTCACGAACACCCCGCGACTGGCGCAAAGGCGGGAAAAGGCCCAGTTCCATCAAACACGCGTGTGCTAAGTACTGTGGTCGAGCTCCTGCGATGCTGGGGCGTCGAGCACCCAGGGGTAACTAAAGCTGATATCTGTTTTCGCTGGATTCTGGACGTTCTGCAAGCGCTTCGTTACAACATGACCCACATCCTCATGCTGCGTGGGCAACAGGCCGCCAACTCTCAGGAGGGAGACTTGGGTGTTTGTGGAGGCAGCTCTTAGTCGAGCAGCTGCTTCGATGGAAGCGTCATTATGAGGATGTCCATGCGACGACTGGCGATCTTCATTTTGGCACGGCGAACCCGATCACGACTGGTGCCTGTTGTAATTCACACAGATGTTCAAAGTGACTCGAAGATGCCGCGTCCACCACATAGGCCGGAGGCAGTACCACTGGCTGAGCAGCCAGCGCTTATCGTCCATCTCGCTGCGTTCGAGCACTGGACTCGAGCGCGCCGCTCAGCGCACACCTGCTGCCACTGGGGGTGGCGCGGGAGGTCGCAACATCGACCTTCTCGATGCCCTCCACATCGCTGCGGCTGCGAACACAATGCAGCAGGCATCGCATGTCGCACACGAGCATCACGCAGTGTGGCGCTTCGTCCGACCGCGTCCAGACGTAGGAGCGAAAATAGGGGAACACTCGCTGTAACCTGGCTGGTAAGGGGGTCACCTCCTGGCAGCACCTTGAAGCACAAGCCGACGGAGTGGCCGTAGTCCAAGAACCCTAACACTGGCCGATCAGTTGCGTATCTGTGTTTTCACTTGGGGACCCCAGCAGAACTCGGGACCAAGAACAACTTTCAATGCTCGCAGTATGGACCGGTATAGGCATAAGGGGTGGAGATCCAATCGCGTAAGCCCACGATCTGCCCCAGCACCACCACACGCAAGTGTTGCGGAGGACGGTTTTAATGACCAAGAGGGATGTGTCTGCTGGCGGAGGTGCAACCACAGGTGCATCCCAGAGCCAAATCAGCAGAGCATATGGCATCCTCAAGCGTTCGCGGACGCTGGCACCTCCTGGCAGGGTGCCCAAGCGGCGCAGCCTTCCGCGCAGAGGACCACACGCGACGCACCGCTCGACGACGGCCTCCCAGGCATCCCGACACAGCAGAGACTCCCAAGTGCTGAACTCGGTCGCTTCCCTGCTTCGGCCCATGACTGCCGCTTGCCCATGGTCTCGAGGACCTTGGCCGCGGTGCCCAACGGCGAGGGCCCGCTGCGCCCGGCAGAAGAGATCAGCGAAGCAATGCGTCGCATCGAACTGCCGAGGAAAACGGCCACCATCATCATCATCATCATCATCATCATCATCATCATCATCATCATCATCATCATCATCATCATCATCATCATCATCATCATCATCATCATCATCTGATGCCGCCTCTTCCCCATGCCCCGTCGTGAGTCGCAGAGTAGGTCGTTAGTGACGCTACTGCTGGCAGAGACAGCCTTTCAAGTGGTCGAGGGGAGTGCTGGAGCTTCGCGGGAGGCGTGCGGCGCTCCAGCAGCCATACAGCGGTCGTCCACGAGGGCGACGGGCGTGACGTCGGCGGGCTGCCACTCGGGGGCCCGCAAACAGTGTGGTGACCAGACCGCGTGGTGAGTCAGTGGGTATTCGGGGTCGCCGCACGGCTTCAGGACTCGGGCCGTTCTCCGAGGACGCATCGGGCGACCAGGGCCTCCGAGGCCACAAGACCGTGCGGCGACGGACCAGGCGGCGAGGTCCCTTGGGACTTCAAGGTCACCGCGCGATCCGTCACCACACGGCTCTGGAACCACCGAACCACGGGCCGAGGGCGGCGACCATGCCAGCAGGAGCGGCAAATCCCCCTCTTGGCGGGGAGGCTGCAGCGAGGGCCTCGCGGCGTGGAACACCACGGCCCCTCGAAGCCTGGCCAAATGGAGGGCACCATCCACGGGCACCAGAGCGGGCGCTGAGAATGGCGCGGCCGGCCCTCCTCGTCAGGGGCCGCGGCCGCCAGCGGGCGGCCGATGCGGTCGTGCGCCCTGTTGAGGTGCTGCTCGCATCCAGCGTCGGCGCGTCAGTAATCGCACCCGTCTGAAGCGCCCCTTGGGCAGTCACGAGGCGTGCACCAGCTATGAGATGAGGTGGCCCCAGCGTGCTCGCTGCCACTGATGTGGCGCCTGCCTTGGACCAGGCGGGCTGGCGTGGAAGCGAGCTGCAAGATCTCTGTGTGCGACGACGGTGGTGCGACCTGGGAGCGCACGGAGGCGCACGGCACAGAACATTATTTCATCAAGTATCTCAACGTCGCACGTCGGCGCGGCGGCGCTGCACAGGCGGTGCCACAGACCGCGACGGACGCTCCAGCCGACGAGCCGCACCCGCCGACGACGCCTCCGCTTTGAGACGCCCATGGCTGTGTGCGCCGTATGCTACGCAGCGTGTCGCTCGGGCCGGGCAACTGGTCCAGGGAGCATTCCAGAAAGCCCCCAGCCCAGGACTCCCAAGGACGCCTCCCCCTCCTCGACAATCGAATTCCAAAATGAGGTGGAGGCGGATGATTTTCCAGCACTCTCCTGCAGCCGTACTGAAGCCATATTGCCTAAGTCGGCTGATTTTGCTTTTTACGTATCACCATGACGCTACGATCTTCGATCCAAGTCTGGCCCAGGGAAGAAGGGGACAGGCGGAGGAGGAGGAGGGGATGGAGTCCGATGTGTACTGCCCGAGCCCGATGATGGGAAGACGGGGGAGGTCGTGAACCAAAATGGTGGCCCCGTGTGACCCTGCCCGATGTTCGCTGTTTCTTGTGATCTCCTGCTGCTGGGGCGCCGCCGCTCTTGCTATTCACCCGCAAGGGCCTTGCCCGCCCCGCGCCCGCCAACGAAAAGGCCGTCGTCGTCGCAGCTCCAGCGCGGGAACCACGCCTGGCTGAAAGTTTCTCAAGCTTCTCCCCCTCCCGCTGCTATTTCTCCGCCTCATCCTCCTCATCATCATCCCCCGCCTTCCTCCCTCCATCCCTCCCCCACCCCCCGTTTTCCTGGAGCGAATACTTGGGCCAAACCCAAAACGGAGGAGGATCATCATCCCTTCAAGGGGGCCCAAAATTAACCATAGGATAGAACATCCAGATACAATTGCAACACACACACACAAACACCTCACCCAGTCTCACTACCATGCTCTAACACCACCGCTCCCTCGGCCAAATTTGGCCGTATGAGGCGACGGGTGCAGAGCTTATATACAGCGAACTGGATAGGAATGAACCACATGATATAGGCGCGTGGATACGTCAGACAGCAAAGAATTATGACTGTTCTAAGAAAAGCCATAAGACGCACCGTGGCGAGTCTACATGTGTAAAGTAATTGGAGGCATAACTGGCGCGGGCAAACAGTATGTGTTGTGCGTAAACGTGCGGGGGAGGCTTCCCAACATGCAACACAAAGTTGTTACATTTCCGCAGTGCACCACGCCATACAGAGTGGTTAACATGAGCTGGAGTGTGCGTAACCAATCACATGGATCTCAACTGATCCTGAGCTCAAGCTTCGCCACAGCGATACGCGATGATAGCCTGAAAATGATCCGCCGGCCCCCTTGCGGGGCCACCAGGCTCCGATGGTGAGGATTGCAGCTCCCTGTTCCAGTTGCAGCTTCCTGTCTCCATTGTTACAGTCCTGCTTTCTGCCTTCTTACTGTTAATTGTTGCTGAACGCGCGAAGGGTGGGAGCCCCAAACCAGCTTTTTACCACGCCCCGATCGCATTGTCTGAATTCGTGGGGGGAAGTGGGACATGCAAAAATACATGGTCTTCGAATCCCCGAGGCCATAATGTCTAGCAAATTACGCCAGATTCGCGTCCCCGAGCCATGTCCTTTGTAAGTTACACACAAGATTCGCGTCCCCGAAAGCGTAAACCCTAGAAAATTACACCATACCCGCGCCGCCGAGACCATAAACACAAGCAATTACGGAATACTCGCGCCCCCGAGGCCACAAACCTTTTAAAAAGTATACCACGTTCGCTTCCCCAATGCCATAAACCCTTGTGAATTACACCATACTTGCGTCCTCGAAGCCACAAACCTTTTTACATAATACCCGCGTCCCCGAAGCCATACACCCTTGTAAATTATACAACAGTTGCGCCCCCGAGGCCATAAACCTTTTGTAACTTACACAATACTTGTGCCCCTGAGGCCACAAACCTTCATGAATTACACCATATTCACGTCCCCGAAGCCATCGCGCGAAGTCCCGACACTGCTTCACGCCAGCGTCCAGACATCCCAACACGGCTCTGGCAAGTCCCATTCCAAGAGAGGGGGGCCGGCGGCATGGGGGCGAAGCCCTTGCGCATGTACGCTAACACTCCGTAGCTGGCGCCAGCTTGAGCCGTCCGCCAACAATGCGCTAGTTGGTCCCTCGCATGCGCATGGACATATCGCCCCTGATAACACACTTGTTTAAAGCGTCTGCTAGATTCTCGCGCGTTCCTACTCTAATCACTTTGATGTCTCCTCACCGCACAATTTGTCGTAGCCGAAGCCGGCTGGCCGCTGCCCCACCACGCTCCTCGGGATGACGTTCGAGGAAGTGGACCCAGGTGTGCAGTTACGACAACAGCCTCTCAGGCATTGGATTCGTCTTCGGCAGGATGACCATGAGCTGCACCAACGTATTCGACGTACTTGGGCGCTGCCCAGGACCAAGCTCAAATTGGCAGGCCCCAAGATTTGGTCACATGTCACTGGGCCGACGGGCGCTGCTATTGCTACGTTGCTCGAGGCTGGTTGGGACCCCAAGGCGGCGGACTGCTGGCAACGAGTGCATGATGAATACTTGGAGGAATGGCGGCTCCCAGACGATGGAGTTGAGCTAGTCGGCCTCGACGATCTCGGCGACGACCTCCAGCAGCGGCGCTGGGCGACAGCGGCGGCGCACGAGCACGGCGCCTCTCTCGCCTCGGGAGCCAACCTGGTCATGGGCATGGTCGAGCAGCGCAGGTTCCTTGCGCGTGAGAAAAGACTGTCTTGGGCTTTGACCAATTGTTTTGTCTCGGGAGGCCAATGGACAAGAGAGCGCCTCCATCTGTCTGGGTACGTCGTTGACCGTATCTGTGATCGATGCAAGTCTGGGGCCATAGAGGACCTCCCGCACAAGCTTTGGAAGTGCTCTGCACATGAGGGCCCGGAGGTCTCCGCTAGTGATCACCTGGTGTCCCAGGCGTTTGCTGGCCATACGCAGGACCCTGCACTGTGGCTTCGTGGCTTCCATAGCCTCTCCTCCACTACTCCCTCTTTCGCTCCGTGGGACGGGGGTGGGGTCGAGGTGGTGGGTCCTGATGCTATAGGTAAGCTCGCGTGGGAAGCCTGCAGAGACCCCAATGGGCGCCTCTTCCTCTTTGGGGACGGCTCTGGAGGGGCCTTTTCGGATGACCTCAGGAGGCACCGATGTGGTCTGTTGCAGCGCTCGAAGAAAGCTCGGGGCCTCTGACTTCTGTCGCCGACCATAAGCCTCTCCTCAGGATGGGGGCAGGGCTGGGCTCGGAGGCCTCCCAGAGCTTGGCCTCGGCGTCTCAAGAATGGGGACCTCTGGGCTCGTCTGCGCAGGGCCTCGGAGCAAGAACCTGGTCGTGATGTGGCCTTGGAGTGGACCCCGTCGCATCAGGATGAGACGCCCGAGGCCATCACCGACCCTTTTTACGCTTGTGGTAGTATTGTTGCTGACGCATGGGCAAGCCGTGGGGCCGCCAAGAGCTGGAAGTCTGTGCCTGAGCCCGCCCCCCTCACTGATGAGTGGGCCGCGATTGCTGCCCTCGTCCGTGCTCGTGCGAGGGCTATGCTTAAGAGTACTTGCCTCGGACAGAGTCTTGAGGGGCGAGGGAGGTTGCCGTCCAGCGACGGGCCCCACTCTCCACCCGCGCCCTCCATCTCAAGGCCTCCGCTCACGCGCTCGGGAAATGTGCTGGTAAGTGGCGGTGCGCGACGTGTGCTCTCGCTGTTGACGGCTGCCGCCTGGAGGAGACTGCTCTCACCCAGTGCCCAGGGCCGCCCCTAGCGCCCGCTCCTGCTCAGAGGCCCTTGCTTCGTCTCGGGGAGGCGGCGGTGGTTGAGGCGGGGGGGAGAGTTCTCAACGGCCAGTCGGCCCATGCCTCGCACGTGCTGGTAGAGATCCCACGGTGGAGGGTCATACTCTGCACGTCATGCGGGGCGAATGCGATGTTTAGATATGTTGATTTGTTGCAGCCCTGCCCATCACATCGCCGAAAGGGCGGGAGTCTTGACCCGCGTTCTCAAGGGCCTGCATCCTTCCCATAGGGCCAGTCGAAGGCCATCCGTGAGGCGCAGCACCTGGACGCTGCTGACGTGGCTCGGTCTCGTGCGGCGCCCAAGGCTCAGGCGGTGCAGGCCCCAGATTCTGTGAGCCCCCCAGGGGGCCCCTGGACTCCCACCCGAGGGAGATAGGGGGGCCTCGGGAGCTGTTGGTGTGGGAGCCCCCTTGGGACGGATGTCCTACACCCTGCGAAATGCTTTAGAAATCATGGGTTAAGAAATTCATAGTCCCAGAACGTGAATAAAAACCCAGAACTTCTATCAACATCTTGGGATTCACATGGAAAAGTTAAGAATAATCGAGACTCTGGCCAAAAATTCGAGTTTTCTTAAGCATCGCCTAAGGTGTACTGGTTGTGAGGAGGAGCTTGAAGGGGATTCTGGTGGAGCGGACGGTGGAGAGGGAGGCCCCTCGTCAGCGCCGTCGGAGTCGAGCGTGCTGCGCGCGGTGGGCGCGCGCCTGCGCGCGCCGTCTCCGACATGTTCGGCGACGACCCCCAGGACTGCCCTGGGAGGGCCCCCGCCGCCGCCCTCCTCCCCCTCATCCTCCTCATCCTCCTCCTCCTCCTCCTCCTCCTCCTCCCCTCCTCCTCTCCTCCTCCTCCTCCTCATCATCATCATCATCATCATCATCATCATCATCATCACAACCTCCTCCTCCCTCCTCCTCCTCTCCTCCTCCGCTTCCTCCTCCTCCTCCTCCTCCGCTTCCTCCTCCTCCTCCTCCTCCTCCTCCTCCTCCTCCTCCTCCTCTGTATTCTCCTCCTCCTCCTTGTACTCCGTCCCATTTCCTGATGTACAACTACTCAAAACCACACACCCAGACTTGTCGGTCATGCGGGGCAGACGTTTCGCATGAAACTGTCTCAGCACTTCTGATCCTGAAGTCTAACATTTGCAACAACTTCCCGGATTGACGGCGGGCGGGTTTTACAATGTGGCCCTCGCCCTCGCGCCGCGCACATTCACCCTTGAAGTTTACAAAATTCAAGGGTCGAGGGCGCGTGGCGTTCAAAATGTGGTCTTCGCCTCAGCGCCGCGCGCAGCTTCAAGCATGGAGGGCGGGTGAGCTTCAAAATTGTGGCCCTCGCCCCCGCGCCGCGCGGCTTCGTGGCACACAAGCTGCAGCCGCCGCACGGGTGGAGGCGAGGTAGTCTTCGAGACGTGGTGGTCGTCACCGCGCCGCGCGCACTCGTCTCGAGAACTCGCGAACGCACCGAGGATCGAGGGCGGGGCGTGTCTCAAGACGCGGCGCGACCGCCTCCGCGCCCCGCGCGCGCACTCGTCGCAGCGTGTGCCGCCGCTTCGCGGGTGGAGGGCGGTCGGCTTTCGCACCGTGGCCCTCGCCCTCGCGCCCGCGCGCACTCGTCGTAAAAGTTCGCAACAGATCTACGAGTGGAAAGCAATTGGTTATCACAGTGTGGCCCTCGCCCTCGCGCCGCGCGCACTCGCCTCGAGAGCTCGCAACAACGTCGAGGATCGAGGGCGGGTGGTGTTCAAAATGTATGTCTCGCCTCAGCGCCGCGCACATTCGTTTTTAAAAAACGCAACCGTTCCAAAGTTTCGTGGGGATGGCGTCCCTGGAACGGTGTTCTGGCACGGTATAGGACCGTCAGAACGCAGCAGGCACTTTGATTCGCGGTGGAAGACTCCCAAGAACGGTGTTCTTGCACGGTTTACGATTGCCAGAGCGCAACACTTGCGTTGACTCGCTGCGAGAAGTTCCAAGAACGGTGTTTGGCATGATTGGCGATCATTCAGCGATTGTGTTTCAATGGAGCGCTTCCCGCAATTAGAAGATTTTCTCGGGCCTCACGAAGATGGAACTCGAAGGGAGGATAAATTGAAAACCGCTTCTGTCTTACGTTTACAGTGGCCCCCTCCTCTTCCTCCTGCTCCTCCTCCTCCTCATCCTCCTCTTCCTCCTCCTCCTCCTCCTCCTCGTTTCCGACCAGTTTAAAACGTGCGCGCGTGGGGAAACACGCACGGCGGAGCAACGAGGAAAAGGGCAGTTCGCGCATCGACCCTCCTTACGAGGACGTCTTTGCTGCATCAGCGCACTTTGGCCCATCAGAGACAAGAAAACAAAAAGGGAAAAACTTACGACTCAGGCCGGCCACAGAAGCTTCCAAGGTCAATGGGCATTCCAAGTGGCCCGCCAGAGCGTCGGCATGGAGCGGCCTCTGGACTTTTCTGGCTCATTCGCGGGCGTCCTTGGTATCCTTTCGATCGAGCTCGGCAACGACATCGTGTGGCAACTTTTTGAAAGTAGCCATGATTATAGAACGGCAGGTTTCCGAAATGTCTTCCTCCCCTCACTCTCCTCCCCTCCCTCATCCCTAATCCCTCCTCTTTCCTCTCCTCCCATCCCTTCCCCCCCTCCAAAAAGGCCTGGGGGCACCCGAGTGGGTCCCCACCCCCGTCACCACGGGGGTTCCCTGGGCGTTGGGGTTCTGGCCCTGGGTCCCTAGAAACGAAGGAAGCCACCTCCCAGACACAGCCTCTTGGAGGACAGGCCACATGGCATTACGCCTCTGAATGCGAGTTCTGACTATTAATTACACTGCAAGCAGGGGCGGACCGGCAGGGGCAGAGGAGAGAGAGGGAAAGGGGAGCGACGGGCGGAGGGCGGGGTCGGTCGGGGCAGTCACGCAGGCAAGCGTGGTGGTCGACGTGGGGGTCGCGGAGGCCGGGCCAACGGCGGACGTGGTGGTCATGCTGCTGGGCGTGGTGGTCGTTGTAGAGGTCGGGCTGGGTGGGCTGATGGTCGGGCTCCGTGGTGGTGGTCGTGGTGGCTTGGCCGGTGGTCGTACCGGTGGTCGTCGTGCTGTGGCTTCAAGCTTGCGGTGGCCCTCCCTCCCTGCCTCCCTCCTCCTCCCCCTCGCTTGAACATAGCGCCTCAGCATCATGAACACATGTTTCCCAAAAGTGAGCCGTGATTCACGTATTGCGGGGCAAAAGAAAACAAACGACAGATCGATTAAATTTTGGGGGAGGTCAAGGTTTTGCCAGCAGTCCTTGGCTCCCGTTCGACTGGCGTGCTGGGCATTGGGTCGGACCACAAACCTGCACGTCTGAAGCTACGTGTTCAAAAGCAGCCGAAATCGAACGTCAGGAAGAGCAAAAAGGACAATCGTGCACAGCATACTTCTTGAGCATATGTTGATGCAAAGCGGTTTCTGATGAAGCCCAGACGAGGAGCCGCAGTCAGCGGGAATTCGGAGTTGGGCAACGAGGAAATTACACGAAGGCGCTGGCTGACTTGTCGTTGTTCCTCCTCACCTCCTCGGAGCGCTCCGCGCCGCACAACCCTCGAAGCCGCGGCCGGCCCGTGCCTGCAAGAAGCCCCGCGGCCCCGCCTGCCCACAGGGTGCCGATGTTGCCACACTACGGCCTCACGGCAAAGAAAAATCACAAGTAACTAAAACTGCGACTCGAAGGTGCTTTTGGAGCGCGGGTCGTTGAGAATGAACGGGCCCATATTTCGAACGAGGAGTTGCAATTGCAACGGCTCATTGTACAACCCAAAGAGTCCCAGACCATGAAAGGACTCGAGAGGGCAATTCTGAACAAAAGCATTCGTAGGAGGAGGAGGAGGAGGAGCAGGAGGAGGAGGGGAAGGAGGAAAAGGAGGAGGAGCAGGAGGAGGAGGAGGAGGAGGAGGAGGACCAGGAGCAGGAGGAGGAGGAGGAGGAGGAAGAGGAGGAGGAGGAGGCGGACGTGTTTGCGGATTTGTATGCCAAACTGTGTAGCACCACTGTGGAGGCAGAGGAAACAGAGAATGATGGGAGTAGCTCAAGTCCAGGTGTCATTGAACCTTTCACGTTGGCGAAGCTGCGCGAGCAGTTGGCAGTGCTAAAGAAAGGCAAATGTTGCGACCAAGATGGAGTGTGTGCGGAGATGTTGAAGAACGGAGGCGGCACAGCTGAGGCTCTTCTCTTGGAACTCCTCAACCAAATAATTTCACTGACGGAGGTCCCGCCAGAATCGTTGAAGAAAGCAGCCCTGACGGTGTTGAACAAGACCTGCGACGCTGCTGACGCCAACAACTACCGCACCATCATCATGATACCTCTGCTCTACAAGCTTTTCGCGAAGCTGCTCTGCCACAGGTTGTATCCCATGATACCGGAGAAAAACCCCATCAGGGCTATAGGGCTAGGGGGCTATAGAGCTATAGGGCTATTGAGCTATAGGGCTATAGAGCTATAGGGCTATAGATTTGTAGGGCTATAGGGCTATTGGGCTATAGGGCTATAGGGCACCCCCGGGCACCCCCAGGCACCCACGGGCACGCCCGGGCACCCAGGCACCCGGGCACCCGGGCACCCCGGGGCACGCCCGGGCACGCCCGGGCACCCGGGCACCCGGACACCCGGGCACCCCGGCAACCCCGGGCACCCGGACACCCGGGCGTGCAGCGAAAATAGGCGGCAAACCTAACCTAACCATATGAATTCGCTAGGACCCCTACAGAGGCAAGCTCCAATTGGGGAATATTGGACAGGCACCAGAATATGGACCATGAAAGGCCGCAGCACTATACATCACATGTTTGCCGTGCCGATGCCCCAGGAAAAACGACACGAGTGGTAATACAGTCTGTGGCTCGCTGCAATGGATTTCAAGCAGGCTTTTGATTTTGTTGACATCCTTGTCTGTGGCGAAGCTTTGCCCAGCAAGCCGTACCATCTTGGTACTCGACACCGGAGAGACAGCCAGAGTGCGAACGGGTTGTTTGAGCCAGCCTTACCACATCCAACGTGGAACTGAATTTGATTCTCTCATCGAGGAAGTTGTAGAAGAGGTCAAGGGGGCATGACTCAAGACGGGCTGGGGCTTAAAAACTGGCTTCACCCACCAGACGCAGCTCACGAACTCACGCTTGGCGGACGACGTCCTCCTCGTCACCAACGCCTTGAGACAGCCCAAGTCCATGCAGAAGGATCTCAAGAGGTCCGCACCCAAAGTTGGACTCGAGTGACATCCAGGACAGACAAAAATCATGAGCAACGCGACCAAGGGCACGGGCAGACCAAAGGAGACATGTTCTGATAGACGGCATGGATACCGAGATTGTCCCCTACAGCGGCAGCGTGCAGTACCTCGGCAGGATGGTTGGCTTCGACCGGCCTCACGAGCTTGAGGTCCACCATCCTATTCGGAATGCGTGGAAGCGTTTGATGTAACATCGAGCAGAGCTAACTGACCGGCAATACTCATTACATTCTCCCCTCCCGTTGTTCGATGGCACAGTGTCCGCCACGATGCTGGATTGTTCGGCCACGTGGGTGCTGACGCGCGAGCTCGAGTGGCCATATCCGTCGAACGCAGAGGAAGCTGCTGAGAATGGTCGTCCGCACAGCCAGGCGCAGAGAGCGCAAATAATCCAGTTCTACATTGTCAACCTTCTTTGATGGTTCGTCGTCTTCTTCGTATACGTCCAAGCGTCTTCGCCGTGCACGCTAGAACCGTGGACAGACTCTATCTGGCACGCGACGCATGCCGCAGACCATCTTGTGGCAGAGTTGGGACTAAGAGATTGGATTACAATTTATCCCAGTGCGACCCTACCTAGGAGTTGGAGCATTTAGGAAAGCAACATATACATCTACACCGACAGCTACATGTACATCTACACCTGCATCTACATCTACATCAACATCAACAGCGAGACTCACATCTATATCTACATCTACACCTACATCTACACCTACATCTACATCTACATCTACATCTACACCTACATCCACATCTACACCTACACCTACATCTACATATACATGTACACTTTCGCATTGGTGTTGCTTTTGCTTTGCATTGCCTTTGCTGTTGCTCTTGCCTTTGCTTTTGCCTTTGCCTTTGCTTTTGCTTAAGCCAAGCTAAGCTAAGCCAAGCTCAGATGAGATAAGCTAAGCTAAGCTAAGCTAAGCTAAAGCTAAGCTAAGCTAAGCTGAGCTAAGCTAAACTAAACTAGGCTAGGCAAAGCTAAGCTAAGCTAAGCTAAGCTAAGATGAGATAAGCTAAGCTAAGCTGGGTGAACCCAGGGGGCGTAACTGGGGGAACCGCGGGGCGGATACTGGGGGAACCGCGCGGGCCGGTTCCCACTGCCCGGCCCTGTAAGCCAAGAGATGACAATAATTACCCCAGTGCGACCCTACCTAGAAGTTGGAGCCCCTAGGAAAGCAGCATTAGTTGCTATGCTATGCTATGCTATGCGATGCCATGCTATGCTGCGCTATGGTATGCTATGCTATGCTATGCTATGCTATGCTATGCTATGCTATGCTATGCTGCGCTATGCTATGCTATGATATGATATGCTATGCTATGCTATGCTATGCCATGCGGCGCTGTGCTATGCTAAGCTATGCTATGGTTTGCTATGATAAGCTGCGCTATGCTATGATATGCTATGTTATGATATGATATGATATGAAATGATATGATATGATATGATATGATATGGTGCGCTATGCTATGCTATGCTATGATATGCTATGCTATGATTGGCTATGCTTGGCTATGTTATGCTATGCTATGCTATGCTAAAGCAGCGCTGCGCTATGCTAAGCTGAGCTCAGCTAAGCTAAGCTAAGCTAAGCTAAGGGGACGTAACTGGTGGAACCGCGGGGCGGATACTAGGGGAACCGCCCGGGCCGGTTCCCACTGCCCGGCCCTTTAAGCCAAGAGAGTAAGAACCCTTCTGGGCAGAGCCTAGGTAGGGAAGTAAGAACCCTTCTAGGCAGAGCCTAGGTACGGAAGAAGCAAGAAACAGTAAGGTTGGAAATTCATGTAAAGTGCCCTTGCTGACGGGGTTTAATCGCATCTGGCCAGGGCCATCGGTAGGAACAACTAGTTGGGGCAGCGAGGCAGCCGTTGAAGGTAGACAAAAGCTGAAAAGAGTAGAAGGGCTGGCCCCCTCACACTCTTTCCAACTTCCCTGTGCGGAACATCGCAGAGCAGCCGTTGAACGGTCAGACCGCATGAGCACAGAGCAGCAAACTTAGGCACAAATTGCACTGGGAATGGAACCCTTCGACCGCACTCGACGAGCGGAGGGCCCGCGCATGAGATGGGCAAGCGTGGTGAACGCTTACCCACCAGCGCCGAGACGCCATCGCGCCGTCCCCATGGGGACCGGCCTCTGGGCCGCAGGGGCGTGTCTCTTTTTTGTTCTCTCTCTCTCTCTCTCTTTTTCTCCTCCACCTCCTCCACCTCCTCCTCCCCCTCCTCCTCCTCCTCCTGCTCCTCCTCCTCCTGCTCCTCCTCCTCCTCCCCCTCCTCCTCCTCCTCCTCCTCCTCCTCCTCCTCCTCCTCCTCCTCCTCCTGCGAGGCCCCGGCCGAGATCGCGAGTCCCCCAACGCCTTTCGGCACGCGGAGGCCTCCAGCTTGGCGCGACCGAAATGGTGACCAGAACCAATGGGGACGAAGTCCGACAGCAAATGCTGCCCCAAACTGACAGCGGCGACTGTTGGGCAGGCGACCTGTGGCCCCGAAGCGGACAACGCCTGCGGCGACACCGGCAGCAAGCCCTGTTCAAAGTGGGCAGGAGCTGCTGTTGGCCTTCGTCCCCTCTCGTTCCGAACCTCTTCCGCCAGATGGGGCGAGAAGGAGGACCGAAGATCGACGATCGACGACGACGACCAAAGATCCGACCGACGTCCGACGACCGACGCCCGACGAATGCCAGGACACACCACCCCAAAACCCAGACCCCCGACGTCGTGATTACTTCGCAGCGTGGACCCCCAGAGGCCTGGACCCCCTCCCAGGGGCTCGCGTTCCACCTCGAGCCGTTTCTCAGTCCCCCAGGGCCCGGCGAGGGCCTGAACCGGTCCGCAATTGACAAAACCCTGCCGTCGTGACCACGTTCACGGCGCGAGGGGGCCTAGGTTTCGATCGCGCCGACCAGCCGCGACACCTCCAGGCCCCCGAGCGCGTCCCGGCAGTGCCTCAGGCAGCAGCTAGTGGACGGCTCGCCCGTGTCAGGGCGCGGCTGCGGGTCCCTGCCCACGTCCACGTGGAGCGCACGGCATGGGAAGAAGAAGAAGAAGACGAAAAAGACGAAGCAGACGAAGAAGAAGAAGAAGAAGAAGAAGAAGAAGAAGAAGAAGAAGGAGTAGGAGGAGGAGGAGGAGGACGAGGACGAGGACGTGGACAAGGAGAAGGATGCGAAAGGAGAGACGAGGAGGAAGAGGAGGAGGAAGAGGATGAGGAGGAGGAAGAGGCGGAGGAAGAGGAGGACGAGGAACAGGAGAAGGAGGGGGAGGAGGAGGTAGGAAGGGAAGAAGCAGGAGGAGAAGGACAGCTCATCGACGCTAAATCGACGCAAAATCCTCGCTGAATCAACGCTGAACTCACGACGACATTTTTACGAACCTCGAACCGACCCTCCTCCGTGCCATCTTGCTGGCTCTTGTCAATCGACGCTAAATCGACGCTAAACGACAATCCTCGACGCTAAGTCGACGATAAATCGACGCTGATCCAGGCTACATCGGCGCTCATCGACTGAACTCACAATTTTACAAACTTCGAACCGACCCCTCCTCCCGCGCAGCTCGCACACGCAACTGTGGGCCTCCCGTGCCATCTTCCTGGCGCTTGCCAATCGGCGCTACATCGACGCTACATCGACGCTAATCAACGTCAATCGACAATGAATCGACGCTAAATCGATATTGATCGATGCCAGATCGGCGCAGACCGACGCTGACCTCACGACTACATCTACGAACTTCCAACCGACCCCTCCTCCAACGCAGCTCGCACACGTTCAGGGGAGCCTCCCGTGCCATCTTGCTGGCCTCTTGCCAGTCGACGCTGAATCGACAATAATCGACGCCCATCGACGCGAAATCGACGCGAATCGACGCTGATCGCAGCTGAATCGGCGCTTATCGACGCCGAACTCAACAACATTTACGAGCTTCGAATCGACCCCTCCTCCAACGCAGCTCGCACACGTACAGGGGAGCCTCCAGTACCATGTTGCTGGCTCTTACCAAACGACGCTAAATCGGCACTAGTCGATGCCAGTCGACGATGAATCGAAGCTAAATCGACGCTGAATCGATGCTAAATCGGCACTCTTTGACGCTGAACTCACGACGACATTTACGAACTTCGAACCGACCCCTCCTCCGGCGCAGCTCGCACACGTACAGGGAGCCTCTGGTACCATATTGCTGGCTCTTGTCAGCCGACGCTAAATCGACGTTCATCGACGCGGAATCGACGCGAAATCGACGCTAAATCGGCGCTTATCGACGCTAAACTCACTACGACATTTCTAGGAACTTCGAACGGACCCCTCCTGCGGCGCAGCCTGCACACGTCCAGGGGAGCCTCCCGTGCCATCTTGCTGGCTCTTGCCAATCGACGCTGGATCGATGCTAATCGACGCTAATCGGTGCTACATCGACGCTGAATCGACGCTGATCCACGCTACATCGACGCTCATCGACTGAACTCACGACGACATTTACGAACTTCGATTGGCAGCGCGCACAAGGGGGCAGTGGCAGGCGGGAAGGCTTCTAAGAAGGCGACGGCCCTACAAGGCCCGCGCCTTCTAAGATGCAGGGGTGCTTCTAAGAAGCCTCCTCCCCCACCCCCCGCTGCGTGTTTGGCTGATTCGACTCGACGTCGACGCTAAAGCGACGCTGATTCGACGCTAAATCGACGCGAAATCGACGCTTATCGACGCTAAACTCACGACGACATTTCTAGGAACTTCGAACGGACCCCTCCTGCGGCGCAGCCTGCACACGTCCAGGGGAGCCTCCCGTGCCATCTTGCTGGCTCTTGCCAATCGACGCTGGATCGATGCTAATCGACGCTAATCGGTGCTACATCGACGCTGAATCGACGCTGATCCACGCTACATCGACGCTCATCGACTGAACTCACGACGACATTTACGAACTTCGATTGGCAGCGCGCACAAGGGGGCAGTGGCAGGCGGGAAGGCTTCTAAGAAGGCGACGGCCCTACAAGGCCCGCGCCTTCTAAGATGCAGGGGTGCTTCTAAGAAGCCTCCTCCCCCACCCCCCGCTGCGTGTTTGGCTGATTCGACTCGACGTCGTCGCTAAAGCGACGCTGATTCGACGCTAAATCGACGCTACATCGACGCTACATCGACGCTACATCGACGCTGACTCGACGCTAGATCGACGCTAAATCGACGCTGATCGAGGGGAGGAGGAGGAGGAGGAGGAGGAGGAGGAGGAGGAGGAGGAGGAGGAGGAGGAGGAGGAGGGGGAGGACAAGGAGGACGAGGAGGAGGAGGAGGAGGACGACGAAGAGGAGGAGGAGAAGGAAGAGGAGGAGGAGGAGGAGGAGGAGGAGGAGGACGAGCTCCCTCCTCCGCTACCCCTCCACTCACTCCTCCCCGTCCCCTCCTCCAGCGCAGCTCGCACACGTACAGGGCCGGCGGCTCCGCGCCTCCGGCCCGCGCCAGCGCGCCCGCGGCTGCCGCCTTGCGCGCGAGGCCAGCGCGGCCCAGCACGTGGAGGGCCCGCACGCCGGGCTGGGGGCCCGCGAGCTCGGCGTCGGGCTCGCGCCACCACCTCGGCGAGCGGCGAGGTGCCCCGTGGTGCGGAGGGCCCTGGGGCCCCAGACCCCGTCCAGACACGAAGGAACAGAAACGCGACGGGCGAGCTGTTGCGTCGTGCTGCTTTCTGCCTCGGGGGGCCCTCGCCGGGCCTCGGGGCTGTCAGAAGACCGACTGAGGATGAGAAACTGGTCTCGGGAAAGGGGTCGAGACCTCTGCGGGTCGACGCTATGAAAAATCATGACGTGATGAAGAATCATGACGGAAAATGGCTCGAGACCGCTGGGGGTCGAGACCTCTGGGGGTCGACGCCATGAAAAATGACGACGTCGGAGGTCTGGGATGCTAGGACTCTGGCCTGGCCTCGCACGCGCCCACGCAGGGGCACGAGGGCCAGGCAGAGAAGGGGGCGGCCACCGACGACGACGGCGCCAAAGGTGAAAGGGGCACGCTGACGGCGAGGACGACAGACGACACGACAGGAGGAGGCGGAGGGGGAGGAGACGGATGGGGCCCCGGCGACACGCTATATGCCCTGCGAGCGCAGAGCGCGTCGTTCCGCCCCTCGGAGCGGGAGGCTCGGAAGAGCTCGGGACGTCGACGCCCTCGGAGCCGTGGAGGGGACTGCGTGTCGCACCGAGGCGCGGTGGGCCAGAACTGGCGGAGCGACACGCCATCCAAAAGCTTCCGACCGCATCCCCCCCCCAAACACACCCGTTGATGTCCGCCCGAGTCGCGTCTGGTCAAATCTGCGTGCTGGCTCGGCTCTGGTAGCCGCAGCGGTCCCCCTCAGGGGCAGACAGTACCGTGTTTCGAACGGCTGCGCAGAGGTGCCACGGACCCCGCCTCGCTGATGCTCATACGGAGGGCAGAGACAAGAGGGAGGCACAGGCAAGAGGGAGGCACCGATAACATCACCGTACGCATGCGCTACATGCGCGCCGCGATTCTTCTCGCACCTCCTCCTTCTTACGCTGCGTGCCCTTAAGCAACAGAGTTGGAGCGCCCACGCGGCTAGAAATAGCGAGAACAACATAACTGATTTTGGAGAGGTGGCCTGACAGACAAAACAGATAACCTGAGCGATCGCAGCAGGTGAGAAGCGTGGCAGAGGAAACATGAATCCGAGCACAAAGCCCGCGAGCGCATGGAGTATGTGCGCAGTCGTGCCGCCTCCTCCTCCTCCCCCTCCTCCTCCTCCTCCTCTCCCTCCCTCCTCCTCTCCTCTCCTCCTCCTCCTCCTCCTCTCCTCTCCTCCTCCTCCTCCTCCTCCTCCTCCTCCTCTCCTCCTCTCCTCCTCCTCCGCGCTGCGCTCGCCTCGTGCCGCCCAGCCTGCAAGAGCTACATCTAAGCCTTACCCTCTCCAGCCTCGCGAGGGCGAGGAGGAGAGGCGCGCGCGAGGGCGCCAGCGGAGCTCAGACTAGGACGCGAGCGCCAGCCGGCGCCCCGATCGGGCCGGATGGCGGAGCATCCGGCTACGCCGCCACCTCCTCGCGGCAGCGTCCTCCGGGCCGAACGGAAGCCGCAAGCCCCGCACGGAGCGGGTCTGCTCGGCGGGTGTCGACGGCCGAGTGGAGTCCGTGGACGCGCCCGCCGTCCCCCTCACGACGACGGCGACAACGACGACGACGACGACGACGACGACGACGACGACGACGACGGCGACGGCTCGCCTGCCTCCCTGTCACGGTCGAGAGGCAGAAGGGCCAAGACGCTGGAAATTCACGCGGCTGGACTCACATGTGGAACATCCGGAGGCCACGTGCTGGATGCATGCGCGGAAGCCCAGCGTGCCTGGCCATCCGCCACCGTGCCCCCTGGCATGTTAAGGCGTGGCAGAGTGCCAGGTGCTGTCTGGCAGAGCCGCGCCCCCGAGGCCCCGACACCTGGTGGAAAAAGGTGGACCCGCGCTTCCGAGGCCAGGATCCTTCGTACGAAACAATGGATCCGATCTGCCAAGCTTCCAAGACGGCCGAGGCAGGCCACCAAGGCTGCCAAGATGACCCAAGATGCCGCCGAGGCGACCCAAGATGGCCCCAAGGCGGCCCAAGATGGCCTGTCAAGACAGCCCAAAAAAAGCCCCCGCGCAAAGAGGGCCACAAGAGGACCCCCAGCAGGACCCGCAGAGGCCAAAAGCATTGTTGTTCCTTCAGGCTCACACAAGAGCTTGGCGTCTTCACCGTCTCGGCCTCCCTTCAGCTTCAGACCCTCCAAGATGGCCCCAAGACTCCAAATAGACAGCCTGAAGACAGCCCAAAATGGCCCCTGAAAGGCCCAGGACGGCCCCAAGAGAGCCCCAAGCTGTCCAAGAGGGCCCCCGGAGAGACCCAACATGGCCTTACGGGACCCCTCGATGGCCCAAGACGGCCCCAAGACGGACCTACGACTGCCCCAAGAGACCTCCCAGACGACCAAGAGGGCCCCTAGACGGCCCAAGAGAGCCCCAAGACGGCCCAAGAGGGCTCCAAGGCGGCCCAAAAAGGCCCCGAGGGACCCCCAAGACTGTCCCACGGGAGCCCTAGAGAGCCCCAAGACGGCCCAAGAAGAGGGCCACGAAGGACATGACATGCCACTCGACTCACATGCTGCAGCCTCCCGTCGCCCGTCGAGCGGTCGCCTCCGAGAGCACTGGGCTGGCACGGTGGCCGGACTTGCCGCGGGCAGCTGGATAGAAGAGGCGGGCGCTGGAAAGAACACTGGCCACATGCGTATCTGGCACTCACCCAGGCCAGCCGCGTCATGTGTATCCAGCTTCCTGGTAGCAGATACGAAGGCGAACAAGGCGAGGCGAGTAGGCAGAGGGTGAGGACGTACGGAGAGGTTGGACTGGGGCGGAAGGGGCGCGAGAAGCGAGAGACAGGAGAGGGAAGAAAATCGAAAAAGGAATCTGATTAAAGGGGGTTGTGAGGCATGAGCAACCCACGGGATTGTGATCCTTAGTACATCCTTATCCCCAATCGATGCAAACTCCTACTAGGCCACCCAGCCGGCAGATGCTAACCCCATCTGGGACGCCCCATCCTACCGATCCAGCAACCTAAGACAGTGTCGACGCTTGTCCGCTGAAGCAGGGACGTGTTCCCTCCGACGTGGCAGAAGTGCGCGGCGGGAATGGGACGGGGCGCACGTCGCGCGCGAGAGGGCGGCGTGTCGCTCCTGCCTCGGCGCCACGCACATTACACCCGAGAATTTGTCGCACCCTGCACGGCACGAACCACCAACGTGATGCTTCCAACGTCGAGCACCGCAAGTCAGCGCCGCCATGCTGCGCCGCAGCGTGAGACAGAGGAGCGGATGGACGGCGTCAGATCTCTCGACGCCGCGCGCTCCCTCAGACACAGAGCCAAAGCACTGGGCCGCTGGGAAGACACAGCAAGGCGAGGAGACCACAAAAGGGCACGAGGCCGCAAAGGCACGCGACGTCCAACACAGCAGAACCGCCCGCGGGGAAGGAGCAGGGCGAAGAGGCGAAGCGGGCCGAGAGCTCATGGGTGCGGAGGCCTTCAAGCCGCGGCGCGCGCACCAGGGCCCACACGAGCCAAGCAGAGGGGAGGGGAAAGAGGGGGGAGGGAGGAGGCGAAGAGAGAAAGGACAAAGCTAGCGAAGAAAGCTGGACGGATGAAACAAATATATGGTCCAGGGCTTGGGCCCCCCCCCCCCCAATGCTGATGCCATTGGGCCCCCGCCCCCCGCGCGATGGTCCCCCCCGCCCCCCCCTGTGGGCGTGGCGTGGTGCTGCGCTGCGGTGCCCCCCGCCCCCCCCTGTGGATGTGGTGTGGTGCTGTGGTGGTTCAGAGGTGGGCGTGGCGTGGTACTGCGCTGCGGTGCCCCCCTCCCCCCCCCTGTGGATGTGGTGTGGTGCTGTGGTGGTTCAGAGGTCGTCGTCGTCGTCGTCGTCCTCGTCGTCCTCGTCGTCCTCGTCGTCCTCGTCGTCGTCGTCGTCGTCGTCATCGTCGTCGTCGCCGTCATCGTCGTCATCGTCGTCGTCGCCGCCGCCGCCGCCGGCGTCGTCGCCGCCGCAGCCGTCGTCGTCGTCGTCGTCGTCGTCGTGGTCGTCGTCGTCGTCGTCGCCGTCGTCGTAGTCGTCGCCGTCGTCGTCGTCGCCGTCGTCGTCGTCGTCGTTGTTGTCGTCGTCGTCGTCGTCGTCGTCGTCGTCGTCGTCGTCGTCGTCGTCGCTGTCGTCTCTAGGACCATACCATCTGGGGGGGGGGGCCCGAGGAATCCTGGGACCATACCATCGGGGGGGGGGGGGGCGTGAACCCTCGACCCTGGATCATATATAATGCCGCGGCGCGGCAGCAGAGTGCCACGCGGGGACCAGCCCAGGCCGGCGAGTGGGCAAGCCCAGCGCAGAGGCTGCGGTTGGCCGCTGGCGGCCGAGGGGGGGCCCGGCAAGTGCAAACGGCGGGCCCTCACCCACCAATTGACAAACAAAACCTGCAGAGCACCAGGAGAAGGGAGGCGCCAAGGGAGGAGGGGACGAAAGGTGAAAACTAGAAAACCGTGCAGACAGCGCCCACTGGCTCACTCCTCACCCGTGGTGTTCGTCATGCTGCTCATGGTATCCGCAGCTGCACCTCGGCGATGCCCTTGTCTATGTCCGCGAGCTTGAACTGCTTCACTGCCAGGCGCTCCGACGAAGTGCGGGAGTCATCGATCTGGTTGGCTCCGGAGTCGGCGAGCCGCTCGGCGCGGGAGTCGGCAAGCTGATCGGCTCGGGAGTCGAAGAGCCACTCCCAGCTCGCATCGTCGTCGCCCCTCTCGAGCATCGCGCGGCCGTCGCACGTGTTGCAGGAGATGCCGGGCTGCACCCCGCTGCCCACGGGGTCGCTGTGCTTGAGGCAGATGCACACGTCGCGGAGGCATCGGCGACGAGAGGCCTCCGGCGGGCCCGCGCCCTTTCGGGGGGCCACGCCAGGCGGTGCCTGCCCGCCGGCTGCTGACGCTGTGGCGGCTGCAGGGGCCTGCGCACCTGCCTCGGGACCGCCTGGGCCCCACTGCTCGTCGCCGTCCTCCGCGGACGGCGGCAGGGGATCTCCCCCGCCCCGGGCCCT